GCAAGCACACATTGATGTTTCACCACCTCTCTTCCCCATCTCTCTAACATAAGTAAATAAAATCTTTAAAAAAATAAGTCACTGTTCAGCTCACAACCCATGCCATCTTTTAGGTGTATGCACATGTATTTTAATATTGTTTCATTTTTTAAGTTTATTTTAAATTACATGTATGTTTTAATATTGTATTTATAAGGTTTTTAAATAATGGAAAAATAATTCTGATGGTGTAGCATAGAACTGTTAAAATCATTCTAAAATGGCCAAATAGAAACATTCTAAAATGTTGGCCAAATAGAAACATTCTAAAATGTTGGCCAACCCTAACAGAGAACAAAGCCTTGTAAAAACATTAATTATGTATTGAGCATGGGCTGCAAATCAAAGGGTCACCAGTTCCATTCCCAGTCAGGGCACATGCTGGACTATAGGCCAGGTCCCCAGTGAGGGCCATGTGAGAGGCAACCACACATTGATGTTTCTCTCCCTCTCTTTCTCCCTCCCTTCCCACTCTGTAAAAATAAATTAATTAATTTAAAAAGCATTAATTAGTGACAGCACATCTCTTAGATTATTCATTTTTGAACAGAAGAAAATTACAGACTCATTCTGCCAACCACATGTTGATAGATTTCCATGGAAAATAAAATTGTCTTTCTCAAAACACATTTTAATGTTTATCCCTACTTATAGGTAAAATTTCTTAGCAAAGCAAGTGTCCTGGTGGGGCACCCATTATTAGGGAACAAGATAGAGTGATGACAAGCTAGTTTAGGAACAGGTAGCCAAGGGCATGGAAGGCTTAAGAATTCACTAAAACAAATATGGATTGATTGTCTATGACCAAAAACTTGACCTCAGATAAGAAAAACTAGAATGTAAAATGGAATCAAGTGTAGAATTTATTTTAATGTAAAACCAAACAGACTAAGTAAAATATATTATAAAGACCATTTTGTAATGAGATTTTAAAGCAGAAAGTTCCTTGGAAACTAATGCATTATACAGCTTATCAAAGAAGCAAGCTATTAGTGATAGAGAGAATCCTTTCATTTCTAGTATTGGAATTATTATTCTAATGTGAAGAAAAAGAGAGACCTATATAATAGATCTCTAAGGACCTAGTTAACCAGTACATGAAAAATATACTGAAAAAGGAAATTCACATATTTTTGCTTGACAGAGAAACCAGATAACATATTGAGCCGCAGGTCCAGGTTTGTACTTTGTGTCATCTGTTTCCAACTTACATAAATAAATAGGTTATATTCTAAAATCTTCCATTCCCTAGAAATAATATTCTAAAAGATGGATCATGTCACTGAATAACCCTTGTTCTGGCAGCCCCAACACACACCCCCTCTTACACTCTTTCTCCTCCTAAATGTGAAGCACCACAGTGTGGTGTAGTACGGGTTTGGGGAACCTGGAAATATCTACCCGCAATGGTTATGGGCCAAATTTGTGGTCTTAGGGAATTCATTTAATTTCTGTTAATGTCATTTTACTCATTTGAAAATGGAAATAATAATGACTCTCTCGTAGAGTGGTTAGTTATGAGAATGAAGTAAGGTGAGCAGATGCTCTTGACACTGCAATATCCTGCAAAATGTCCGTTATCAATGTACTCCTGTACTCCTTGGTTCAGCTACTCTTTGGATTGAATCACCCCGTGTAAACTATGTGGGAAACTGAGTGCTGTTTATAACCTGTCTACAGAGGGAATTACATTCTGTAAGAGGGGCTGTAGTGGAGCAAATGGTATAAAGCCCCCAGCTGTGGTGCTGTTAGCCAGCCATCTAGCTAACAGAAGTATTTCTTCACTGCCTCTCCTCCCCTTTCCAGCTGTAGTGATCACCATTTCCAAGAAAACAGTATATTGTATACCTATTCTCACTTCTCTGGTGGGCTCATAACCAGTGTTTACTATATTATCCTCCATTTCTTCCTAACTGCCTTGACTTTGTTCTTCACTTGTTTCGTGTATATGAGATTTGTGTTTTTTATTGAATTCTAAACTGTGTAAAGGCAAGACCTGTATTTTGCATTTATAGACTCGGAGTACCCAGCAAAACTCTAGGCACAAAATCGATGCTTGAAAAATGCTAGGTGGGAGGCAGAAGGGCACTTTCCGGGTGAAGAGAATGCTCTCACAAAGCTAGAAGGTGCATAGGGATTTGTTGCCTCCAAGGGGTCTTAGCAACATTATAAAGGTTGCATTGAGTAAGAAGGAAAAGCTCTAAGATCCAAACCACAGGAAGGAGTGGTAATGACTAGATACAAGATCTATGAGCAATAGCCTAGCATGAAAGTTCTTGAGAAGCAAGTCACTTTATAAAAGTTTTAAATAAAAGTAGTTTCTCAAGAAATGGAGAAGTGCCATATATTAGAAGATTATAAAAATACAATTTTTTTAATGAGAAAAGAAGATAGAATCTGATAGGAAGTTTGTTTCGGGAGAGTATTGTATACTGAGAAATGAAAGTCATCCGGGCTGCATGGGAGATTACCAATTAATCTTATTTGTCATTGGAACCGCCTACAAATGATAGATGATTGTCTCTGCTTTTTAAATTTTGAGGTGTGTTGGCTCAGCTAAAATCCTAAATCATAATTACAAAATCTAGTATTTTTTAATATGTGCTACGTGCTAAGACTATTGCACCTGCCTTGTATGGATTATAATACATTTAAGTACTACATTAATGTAATGATTCAGGAACTACTAAGGAAACTGCAGCTCAGCAACTTCAAATAACTTGCCCAAGGCTGTACTTCTCACAAGTGGTAGAGCCAGGGTTTGAACTCAACAACCAGTATTCCTAAACCAGTTTCCTTAACCTCTGTCCACAACACCTCCCAAATATTTTTTTAAGTTTATTTATTTAGGTGGTGTAATGTTGTGTGTTTTCACAAGGAGATAAACATATCCCTCTAAATTAATGTACACGCTGTCTCCTCCCCCGATTCATTAAGATCACCCCTCATGCTTTCACCCCTCTGCCTCCTCCACTGCCCTGTCTGTTGGCCTTTCCTTCTTGCCTTACTTTTCATGCTTTTATTGGGCAGAGAGCCTTGCACAATAGCTCACTGACCATCGGTGGTCTGTGGCTAATTTCTAGTAGGGAGTCAGATGGCAAGTGGTCTGGCAAGTGAAGGGATCGTGGTAGTTTGGTTAGACGTTTGCCCTTTTCTGAAACCTGGAACTCATGATGCAAACCAGTGCCTCTTCTCCTGCCTGGCTTCTCACCAAGATTGTCTTTGAGACTAGATGTACCCAGGCTGAAGTCAAGGTGTGTGACTTTCATCTCTCAGAGCAGATCTGAGAGGGAGCCCCAAAATGATGGGGGGTGTGCAAGTGCTACCACATGCTTACTGTGTACCAGCCTGGCTACTTTGTGTAAATTGTTTTATATGATCTTCACAGCAACCCCCAAGTGGGAAGTATTCTAACTATCTCAGGTGAAACAAAGTGGGCCCAGTTTTAGAAAAATGCCCTCATTCTCACTGTTTTAAATGACAACAAGAATTCATCTCTAGTTTGTGTGATTCCAATGTCAATGCTCTTTACACTCTATCGATTGCATCTCAAGGGCTGGGAGTTATCGGGGGCAAAGAATTATGGAACTGCAAGTTCCTTGCATGAATGCATTTTGAAAATAAAATCTATTTTGGGGGAGTTATCTTTAGGCTCTTTGCTGAACACTTTGCATGTTATCTAAATCAATCCCTCTTAACTCTAGGAATCGTTAATAAATATGACTAAATGAATAAGTGTATGAATAAGTAAATGAAAGTATGGAATCCGTGTTTAGTTTTGAAGGGAAAGCAGGATGTTCTAAGTGTTATTGAAGTACATTAAATTTCATAGTAAAATAAAAATTATTTCTGTATTCCTGTATGTTTCAGAAAGAGCACAGCAATATTTTCTGTTTTGATAAAACTGAACAATTGTTCAACAAGGAACTGATGCATAGTTGTTGCTTAGTGGGGAAGATAAATAAAGTTGGCCCTTCGTAAAGATAGAAAGCATGTTTTTCAAGGCTTTTTTGAACACAACTCAAGAAACTGACATTAGATCTAGACTCCATGATCTTCTTGCTATAATTCTTTTCTAACTGAATGACCAACAGTGTACAATTTCTCTCTGAGGTATATTTAAGAGTAGCAGAGGGAAACTCGTTCTGATAATGTGTTAGGTCACTGCTCTTCTCTCTCAGGACACACCGTGTCTACTTCCTTGTTCCTTGCCTGTGCTTTTGCATTTTGCTCTGTCCAAACACTCTTCATCTTCCTCCCATGCCCCATCCATCGCCTCACACCCATGTTCTGAGTCACAGAGGTCCATCTAAACTGTCTCGTTCTCCTCAGAAAACAAATTAATCCTGGCTTTTAGGCCTATATCATAGCACTTTCCCCAGACATCCTAGTCTCCATTAAATTGCTTTAGCATGCCAAGCTCTTTCCCATGTTAGGGCTTTATGTTTTCAGTTTTCTCTGCCTGTGAGTTAGACACGTAGGGGAAACTGTGATCTGTTTTGCTTTTCACTCAGAATATAACTGTCTAGTGAAAAACTACATTTCCTAGGTGCCCTTTCATCAAGGTGTAGCCATATTACAAAACTGAATGGATATGAGTGAAAATGATGATCTCATTTAACCCTCTTAACAACATATAGAGAAGGCACTAATGCTATCATTACTCCACAAAGCAGATAAGGTTTACAAAGTTTTAGAAGCCTATTCTAAAACCATTCAAAGTTTATACTTTCAAGCTGGGATTTTTCTATGCCCATATTTTTTGTGTGTGTGTGATTTTGGTCTGCAGGAAGTAGGCGCACAAAATCCAGACAGTTCTAGGACTTCTCTAATTGAGATCCATGTCCTAGTGAATGACGACCACACCAAGGCAAGCCAGGTCCATGGGAGCCCATCTGAACATCCAGCTGACTTTCCTATATAACAACAACTTCAACTCATCTGTTTGAAATTCTTCCTAGGTGTCCATCCCCTTGCTGGTTAGAAATGGTGACAATAGAACAGCTGAAGAAGTCCGAAGGTGAGGACGACAGACCTGCCCTTTCAGCCTGGCCCCTCCATGACTTGACTGAGCAGAGCCTGATGAATGACCTGGGGCTGCTAAATGGCAAAGAAATAAACTTCTGTACTGGTAAGTCATTGAATTTTAGAGTCCATTTACTAACCATTACCTCCAATTAATACACCGTGAAGCACTTTTCAGCTAATAGTAAATGCTACTGGTATTTCAGATCTCAGCTTAAATATTCCTTCCTCAAAGAGACTTTCCAAACCTCTGGATCTAGGCAATTTTTTCCTTGTACATCCTGATGTATGACCCAGCTTTTTTCTCTTAGAAATCTCAGCACCATCTAGAACTCTTTTTCACTTTTGTGATTATTTGTTTCTCTCCCTCATTGGATTGTAAGCTCCACAAGTTCAGGGACCACGCCTGCTTATTCCTCAGCGTTGACACACTGGCTCTGATGTGACATTCAGTAAAGATTTATCAAGCTTGTAGTAATAATTTGTAAAATCATTGCCATGTATAGAATGTTGAGAATTTGTAAGAGTTGTACTGTTTTAGCTACATCACTTCATTTAAGTTCCTCAACAACATATAGAGAAAGCACTTAGTAATAATATAATTGCCCCATTTTTCTAGTATAAAGCAGGTTTAGCAAGCTTGCGCCACTCATGCAGGGTCATATTCAACAATTCGAAGCTTGTATTTTCAAGTAGGGACTGTGTCCCTGCTCCTGTATCTTTAGACAGTGTGGTTAGCATGAGTCAGGCACACAGCACCAGGCAGCTCTAACTGAGAAATCCAGGATTTCTGCTAATTGAGATTCAAATCCTAGTGAATTATGACCATGTCATAGCAGGTCAGTTTTAATAATAACAGGCCTTAATGCCCAGCTCACCTTCCTACATAACTGCAACACTTACCCTCTTGTTCGTATGTGACTGCAACAGCAATACTGTTTATAAGTGAAAAACTAACCTCTAAAGCAGGGGTGATCAACCTTCTGGCGTCTCTGAAATCTGTTTTCAAATTCTTGTATCAAACTGAAAAGCAAGGCTGCATACTTTTCTATGTTTGCAAGACAGTGTTTAGCCAATGTGTCGAAATGCATAAAATTGCCTTAATTTGAGCTTGCCATAATTCGGTTTCATTTGGAACGCTGCTATGGTTTGAAACATGGTATTGGTAAGTTGGTTTCCACCTTGAGGATGCATGTGTAACTCATTTAAATGAGTGGTTAAATGCACTAAAAAATGCTAAATCTGTAAGCCAGTCTTTATCATCAAGTTCCAGCACAAATTTGTTTTTTGATACCACAAAAGACTTGATAACATGTCACCAATCAAAAATCTTTTCAACATTTAGCTTTGACTTTGCTATTTTACTTCTGAAAAGTAAATGATGTTGCCATAGTCAGCATCCATACTTTTAAGGAATTCCTGAAATTCGCGATGATTCAGTCCCTTGGCTCTTATGAAATTCGCAGAGTTGATGATGATTTGTATGACATTATCCACTTTTAACATTTTTGTGCATACATGTTTTTGATGCAATGATACTTCATCAAATATGAATTTGGGGCTGCAATTGCATCATATCCTTTTAATTTTACAATCACCTCCCTTTTACCTGTCATCACCAGGGCACCATCAGTCACTATACCAGATGTGTTGACAACGAACAAAGAAAATCACTTTAACATATTTTTACTGCTCATATAAATCATCTGTTGCTTTAGTTGTCTTTTAATGTCACTAAAGAAGCCATTTCTTCAGTGACATATTCATCAATACCTCTAATAAAAATGGCAAGTTGAGCCTCATCTGTAGGATCTGTGTTACCATCCATCCCCAAAGCATAAAGTTAAAAATTAGCAGCTTTACTCTCCAAACTTCTTTTGATAGATTTTCCAGTTTCTTCAATTTGCCTGACTATAGTCTGGTGAGACAACCCAATTTTAAAAATAGCTCCCTTTTTTTTTCAGGGCAAATTGTATCTGCCATGCTTTCTATACATTGCATAACAAACTCACCAGCAGTAAATGGTTTTGATTTTTTGCTATGAAATATGCTACTACCTAACTAGCTTTTACAACAGAATCTGCCTGAGTTGTAACTATTTGAATAAACTTTTGTCGAGAAGACACTTTTTTCAGTCCCACCGTTTTGTCTTTACAACACAATACTTCATATGCATTGAATTTGGCAGCATGTTTTTGCATATAACACCTTTTTCAAATTATAGTCTTTGAAAATTTGCAAAATTCCCTACAAATTAATCCAAGTTCTTTAATAGTTCCCTGGGCAGAAAAGTAGTGATCTGTCCACTTTTTATTGAACAATCTTCCTTCATTTGTAATTTTTCTTTTGGGATGTTGTAGAAGCCATGCCAGGATTTAAAAAAAATAATAGAAAAGGGACTTTATTTACTTTTATTATGAAAATTAATTAACAGGGAAACAGAAAGCAAGGTTTGGACCCTTCTACAGCCCTCTTGGCTGCCGATGCAGGGCCAGAAGGAGGGCCTATTGTAAAGCAGGGCAGGCCATGTGTGAGGCACCGCCGAGGCATGGAAGTACCTTTAACCATCAAATAAGAATGCTTACCGGGCTTCTAATAACATTAAACACTTAACGTTGCAATGGTAGGTTGAAATATTGTTGATAATCGCTGCCTCGCTAAGTCACCAGAGCACACATAACCTCTGATAGTGTGAATTCTACCATCTGTGCTTGGAAGACGCACTGGCAGCCGCACACCACCGCAGAACTGAAGCCATGCATGCTTATAAATAGCGAGGGCATACGTACATTTATTTTACGTGACATTCGTAGCCATCCTGAGCAGTGTGTGGCCCATGGGTCACGGGTCAGACACCCCTGTTCTAAAGCCTGTGTAGTTAATTCAAGGTGTAGCATAAATAAACATTGTTCTGAATTCTATATAACTCCCAAAGAGACAACCACAAGATTTTAAAAATTACATTCTTTTTTGTTTTGAATAAAAAATTTGATTTGGAATTTATTCATGCTTCAAGGCTGATAATAATTCTCTTACTGTGTGTTTGTTGTAAACAAACCCCTTACACACCACACAGACCGAGCCAATAGTTCAATAGCGAGCAGGAGGAAAATCTTTCTAACTATAAAATAACTTGTATTAAAAAATCAGGAAAAGCATTAAATCGGGGATCAGGGCACTAGGAGTCGAGGTCTGCACTGCCCAAGGTGCGTCACCTGCGGGGCCTCTTTACATTTTAATTTAAATTCAATAAAAACCAAAGAGATTAATTCCTTAGTCATGTTAGCCACCAGCCACAGTTTTGGTGTTCAGCAGTCACATGTGCCTAATAGCTTCTCTATGAAACAGTGCAGGGTTATAGAACATCTCCATTACTACAAGAAATCCCATAGGACAGTATTGTTCTAGACCAGTAATTTTTTGTTCTTGAGACCATTAAAATACTTAAAATTTACTGAGAATAGCCACAATTTTTCTTAAAAATATGAATTATAACCGATAATGTTTATTTTATCATAATTTTAAACAGAAAATTTAAAATACCAACTTATATTCCATTAGCCATCAGAACAATGAGATTGTCATAATCATGTGGTCTCTGAAAAACTCCATTAGGTACTCTGAGAGAATTAGGAGGGAAAGGCAAATAACATCTTAGTGTTGCAAAATGTTTCAACTTTACAAACACCCTGAAAGGGTCTCAGGATCTCCTCAGGGTCCCCACATCACACTTTGAAAACCACTGGTCTAGATTCTACTCTGTCCTTCCCTAGCTTGCTCGTTCTTTTTTTTTCTAAATGCTATGGTGCTTATTTTGCCCAAACAAAGATAAATGTTATGCCAAGTGTGAAACATTTGCCAAAACAAAATAAAATAACTGAATTCTTTCTCAAACCAGGCTTCTTAGATTGGAAAGACATGCAAACTCTTCTATCCAAAGACTAATTCTAACGTAATTGAAGCCTAACATCCTAACATAATGAATACATTAGCTATGGTTGGAATTAAATGAGGTTTAATGGTTTCACAGCTTTGGCCCCAGTGGATTTTTCTAAAAATACATAAAAATCACAGTGGCTCAGAATGAGCAGTCTCAGAGAGCTACTGGATATTTATACTTTGAATTCTTCCAATAAAATTTGTGGTTACCTTCAAGTCACCATGTTAGACAGGACCTCTTACAAGATCATTATGCAGTACAAATAGTAAGTTCCAAAAATATCAGTCTTAAGTCTGACCTAAGACCATTAGAATTATTTCAGAATGTTTGGTTTTAGACAAAATAGTTATAGGTTCTTTCTGCTTAGTCCTAAATGTGCAAAAATATTACAAAATGCTATAAACATCTTGACTTTCAGAATAAAGACTTTCTCTATCAACCTATTATTTCTAAAAGTAAAATTGAATTGCTGATAAAGCACATTATAATACTTTAACCGTAATAGATTTCAAAAATGCCTTTAGTAAAAACTGGCTTATTTCTGGGATTTCACAAATGCTCATTCTGGTAATATTCTGAATCTGGATGATTTTAATGAGAAAAACTCAACAAGGTTCCACAGATTTTACTGGTATCTGTGGTTCAAGCTACCCCTAGCCATGTTGCCTTTTTTTTTTTTTTAAATTATTTATTTATCTTTAGAGGGGAAGGGGGGAAGGAGAGAGGGAGAGAAACATCAATGTATGGTTGCCTTTTTTGTGCGTCCCCTGCTGGGAACTGGCCTGCAGGGAACTGGCCTGCAACCCAGGCATGTGCCCTGACTGGGAATCGAACCGCGATCGTGTGGTTCGCAGGCCTGCGCTCAATCCACTGAGCTACACCAGCCAGGGCTGCCATGTTGCCTTTTTATGTCAGCGCATGATTCTGAGGGACTGAGAAGAGAGGGAGAGTTCTCACTGCAGAGGTGAAGGGTAGAACCAGTTGGATCACACATTTAACCAAGTGCAGTTGTTACTTCCTCTGAAGATTTCCTGCTAGTCACTGGCAAGAGAATTTATAACTAATCTCTCCACTCTGAAAGTGACCAAGTCTTAATTTCTTCTCTTCTTCTAGATGATATGAGTTTACCTGTCAAACCCTTCAAGAATTTTTGTCTACGTGAGCTGAGTGTATATACCAAATAAGCGTGACCTTTGACACCACCAAAGGAAATTTCCCGAGTGATGCTCTTCATTTGTGCTGCTGGATGAGTCTGTCTTCACTTTCAACTCCCTTCAGGATCTGACATGGGGCTACCGCTGAAGGCTGTGGGATATGGAGGACCTGATTGTAAGAGCAAGAAGTCATCTCTGTAAATTCATACCAGCCTGGCTCCTTCTTGACTGTAAGTCCAACCTCAGAATGAACCAGAAATGGGCACAATTTTTCTATTATTGGTCTGGACCTCATTTATTTACTTCTTCAGCTTTGCTTTGGAAAAAACTCCTTAAGAAAACCACACAAATGTGTACTCTGTTACTGTGCGTGGGCACACACACTGCTTAACATCACATGGTAGTTTGACCATGCAAAACATTAGGAGAATGCAAGCTCTTTTCGTGTATACTTTTTGATAATAAAATCTATCCTTTTGTGAGCTATCACCAGGTGCCAGGCTCTTTGCTTGGCACATAGCATGTTATCTAAATAAATTCCTTGTAGCTCTAGGAAATAGATATTATTATTATTTCTAATTTGCTGAGAAAGAGAAAGTCTCAGAAAGATTAAGAAATAATTTACCTGGAATCGGACACTGGGTTATCTGTTTCTGTGTCCCTTACTCTTTCCCTCAAGTACCTTTTGTAGGCTTAGCACAAACCAGGTATTTTTTGGTCACCTACCTTATGTTTACTTCTCTCCAAAGTGAGTGTGTGTGAACATTTATGTAGTACTTATTAAATGTCGAACTGTTCTAGACCCTTGACATGAATTACTTCATTTAACCCATACAGTGACCCTATGAAGTAATTATCATGATTATTCCATCTTGATTTGAAAAGAGAGGCTCTGTAAAATGTTACCTATATTGTATCACTGCAAATTAATAATATATGTCTAGCACATTGCAATAAATTAAATCCAAGGTCTTCCAAAGAACTCTTAAGTCCTATTTTAAAATCATTGCAAACAGAATCAGTCTTATGCTAAAATTTGTATCTGGTGTGCACCAAGTCTTGCTTTGGATTCTTAATAGAATTTTTCTCTCTTTCTAATTGATGACTATGACATCTCCATGTTAGAGAAATTTAATAAACATCCTTCCTTTACAGCCAGTGCCATTCTCTTGCAAAGACGCCAGATGAAGATGTAGTTCAAACTGGTTAGAACATCTATCTCCTGCACTATTTCAAATTCATGGGCTCCAAATGTCATTCTATCCCTTTAAGGCAGTCCATACTTTTGTCATGCTTATTCACCTAATCTTTATGGATGTAGATTAAGGGTAGTTAAGGCAACAGGAGTTTCTTGTTATATGCAAATGATTTCCTCCCCTTTCCACGTCATTTCACATATTGTCATGCGGTTTGGCATCCAGTCTTGCTTGACCACATCTGAATAGAATTATGCTCCTTGGGAGCCAAAATTCTTCTTTTCCTGTGAACTAAAGCTACTTTATGAGTTGTATGAAGTGGCTTGAGGAATCATGTTTATTATCTCAAGTTGAACTAATGATGTGATTAAATGTTCCAGCCCCGGAGCCCTTTAGCTTTGCACATTCCTTGATGTAAACTAGTTAAGTGGAATGTGAGGGAAAAGGCTTGGGAACTTTTTATATTGCTCAAGAAGATTCCTGTGGCAAGTGAAAAATGTGGGAAAAAACCAAAGTTATCGGTTCAGTTGGTTTCTCAAGCAATACTTTGAAATCTTTTTTAATTAAATAAATCTTAAATACCTGCTTTGTGCAAAGCGTAAACTAGTTGCTTCAGGGGGTAATGCATGCTACCTGCCATTAAGAATCTAATACGATAAAATCCTGAGTGCATTCGTGAGTAATAGGTAGGACAGGGTCAGAGAGGTGAAGTGTGGTTTTAAAGAACGAAGAAGTCACATATGTACTAGATAAACAAGAAGAGCAGAGTGGAAACAAATGGCAGAGCTTTCAAAACACGGGTAAACTTTTCCCAAGTGCAGATGGGATTGAGACCTCTGGTTTCCAGTGATGTCGGGCTAGGTTATTGGGAGTTGCAGTCCCACAGAAAATATATAAAAAGTCTTGATAATATATTTTTAAGTATTTTAAAAGTTGCAAAAGCCAAAAATACAATGAATTATTAGATCAAGATTTGAAGAAAATCAGGAACTCAGAAAATAAGTGAAGCATGGAAGAAGCTTTTTTTCCTAAGGAGATTTGTTAATTCTCCAAAATGTAAACTTTAATTTTGATCTCCCACATATGACCAATCTAAGAGAAAACTGCCTTCAAAAAGTTCATAACTCAGGAGGATGCACAGACAGAATAAAAAAGAACTGAGTGTAAACTAGCCCTCAACCATATTTCACATCGAATGGTTAGGTCCAGGTAATACTAAACTTCAAACTCTAAGATTTAAGGTGTACTTGGCCTGGTAGTGATTTGGAGCACAAGTGAACTTGAAGAAAGAATGAGCAGCTTACAGGAACTCAACATCAAGTTCAATACACTTTATTTATGGCCAGTAAGGATATGACCACATCCATGTAGAAACTGAGTATGTGTGTGTGTGCGCGCGCGTTGGTGGCAGTATAAAATGATACTTTACTTGTAGCTTTTACCTTTAAAAAAAACTGGCACCATTAATGACAATGAATCTGCATGCTTTTATAATTTTCTCAGAATAAGATACTGGGTAAATTTTTAAATCAAGAATACCTTATTTACACATCTTTCTTGCCATGAAATAGTTTCTTTCATAGTATTCAACATTGAGTAGTGAGCCCTTTCAAATAATTTTTATCTTCAAAATATAGTAGCCAAGAATCATTATCCTTTCAGAACTTGTAATAAAAAAGCAATTTTCTTTAGAGGGTATGACAGACATTTTCCCTTAATTATTTGGACTATTGTGAGATGTTACACATCTGGTGCATTCAGCCTGTAACCAGAATTATTAGCCACTTGAAATATATGAGTATGAAATACAGAGTATGTTTTTTCTTTCAGTCTCCATTGCTGGATTATCTTCAGTTTTCTGACTCCTAAATGCTTGCCTGGGCCCAAGTCAATCCTGAGGCTTCTTCTCAATGATGTACAATCAAGACTGAGATTACTTTATCCAGCCCTGCAGCTTTCATTTCCACTCGTATTCTGATGATGCTCCCATGAGCATCTCCACCTCTCACCTTTCCTCTCAGCATCTGAACAAATGTGGCAACTGTTCCGCAGTTCCACATAGATGTCTAACAGGCATCTCAAATCCTGCTTGTCCAAAAAGAACTCTATTTATCTTCCAACACAAACTTACTGATCCCTAGTCTTTATTTAGTTAAAGGCACCACCATTCACTCAGTTGCTAAAACCAGAACTGTGTTGCCTGCCTTGATGCTTCACTTTTTTTCATGCTCTGCATCAAACCCATCAGCAAACTCTTGTTGACTCTGTCTTCAGAATATGTTACTCATTCAATATTTCTCACTTCTCCTGTCAACTGCTTAGTACAAGCCACAATCGCTGTGTGTGTCGCATCTACTGTAACAGCCACCAAACTTGTCTCTTTGCCTCCACTCTTGCCCTTCCATCCTCAGTATTCTTACAACCAGGGGTGTCCAAACTTTTGGTGTCTCTGGGCCACACTGGAAGAAGAGTTGTCTTGGAGCACATATTAAGTACACAAACACTAATGAAAACTGATGAGCAAAGAAAGGTTTTAAGTAAGTTTATGATTTTGTGTTGGAGGACTCACAGCCATCTTGGGTCACATGCGGCCCATGGACCGTGGATTGGTCACCCCTGCTACATTCCAGGCAGACTGATATTTTAAAGTAAAGCAAAGCATCTTAATCTCTTACTCTCAGTCTTTCAATGGCTCCCACTACACTAAGAAGAAAATCTAAAATTTTTTCCATGGCTGCAAAATTCTTTATTAGAGTCCCTGGCTACCTCTCTAGCTTCACTGTGAGACTTCTCCTCTCACTTATTCCACTATTCCAATCTTTATGTTCTCATTCATCCTTATACTTGCCACTCACAGTTTCATTCAGGAACTTTGTTCCTGCTCTTCCATCTGCCAGGAATGTTCTTCCACCAGACAGTCACATGACTTCTTCCCTCATTTTAATATATTTTCTTTTCAAATGACACCCCTTCTCATAAAAATCTTTCTGGAATATCCTAGCAATTTCCTTGCCCATTTTTTCTTTTTGCCTTATCTCACTTTTCTATTTTTTTAAAAAAGATTTTACTTATTTATTTTTTAGAGAGGAGGAGAGAAGGAGAAAGAGAGAAACATCAGTGTGTGGTTGCCTCTCACACGCCCCCTACTGGGGACCTGACCCACAACTGAAGAATGTTTCCTGATTGGGAATCGAACTGGTGACCCTTTGGTTCACAGGCCAGCACTCAGTCTACTGAGCTGCACCACCCAGGACTCATTTTTCTAATATAAATATTAAACTATATCATAATGTAACCTAATATTATGTTATGTATTTGTTTGTTATTATCTTGTCTTTCTTTCTAGCATATCAGCAACACCAAGACAGAGCTCACTATATCCTCAGTTTCTAGACGTTGGCCAGGCGCATGGAGGCACTTCGCACATATCTGTTGAATTATTGAATAAATGAATGAATGCAAGAGTGCCAGGTTCTTAGGTTACATGGAATGAGTTTTTATTTATTGAAAAACTTTGACCTTGGTCCCAGGTACTGAAAAAAATCTATTTTCTCTCCATTTTCTAGAACCTGGCCTTGGAAACTAGTTAAACTTAATAAAAGCAGTTGTTTGTTCATTTTGCATAGCAATGTTACTATCTTCATCCTATTGCATCTCCTGTGGTGATGATAACAGAAACTACCTACTTCATAGGATTGTTGTGGAGATTAAATAATGATATATAAGTGTTTGAGAAGCTGGCATATATAGTAAATGTTCAGTAATTAGTATTTATTGCCATTAATGCTATAATTGTCACTGTAAGTTTAGAGTTTCTTCCTGTATTTATTTTAAACAGGAATGGGTTACTGCCATTCTGTATATCTGGCATATGGGGAAATTCATTAAATGTCACTGTCACATTTACTCCGTTTGATGTAAACTGCTCTGTCCTCACTTTATTTTATATGGAGGCCTGGGGCCACAAACACAACTGCAAGCTGTGAGTAGGCAAAAGTGATCTTAGTGATTTAGGGAAAAATTCAATTTTTCTATTACCCTTCAAATTTGTGTCAGAACATTAACATCTCATTATCAATCAATTATAAATGTATAGGGAAATAAAAATAATGAAACTAAAGCTTATTTGGTACACTGTAATTTTAAATATTATAAACACTGAGTATGATCATATTTTATTCTTTGTAAAAAAGCTTTTTAGGAGTAGCTAAAACAAAGCTTGTCTTCTCATGTACAACTAATTTTTTTCCACACCATGGCTGTTAGGTTCCTATCTAAATTTGAATGTGCATTTAACATTTTATCCTTTATTTATCCTCTGAAGTGACTTTATTTTATTAATTAATTTATTTATTTCTGCCTGCATCAATGCCTTTGAGATATCCTCATCCTTTTCATCACAGCCACTGTCTTCATTGATGTCCATAAGTTCACCTTCACTAAGTTCCTCAGGCTCCATCACTGGAATTTCTGCAAAGGCAGCAGCATCAACATTCCCACAGTTTGCTATTTCTTCTACAAATCCATTTATGTTTGACTTCAATTTCATGTCTAGATTTATCTTTTTTTCACTTAATTCACTGCACTTTGTTCTTTTTTGGCCAATTCCTTTTTTTGATGATCCATTTGGAGAACTATTACATGTGTTTTTACTACAGGGAAGACAGGGAGGCATCCCAGCTCTCCTTGTGGCTGTCCGTGTGTGCACTAATAGCCAACCGTGCAGTGACCAATCACAACGATAGATTTTGTAAGAAGTGCTGTGATTGGTTACTGATCACGATATAGATCTGTTATTTCCGTAGGGATTTTTACAGTTGCTCATAGTTGATTTTAGTAGCTTAAACCAGGGAAATAGTAGTGAAAAGCTGAAGGTGATCAGATTCTACATATTTTTAAAGGTAAATACCACAGGGTTTCCTGACAAAAATAATATGCAACATATGAGTAAAGGGAAGTCGAGAAAACCTACAAAATTTTTAGCCTGAGCAATTGAAAGGATTAAGTTGGTGTTGACCATTTTAGAGAGCAATGTTGGCTGATCAGGGTGTTGTACATGTTAAGTCTGAGACATCTATTAGATATTCAAGCAGAGATGTGGAGTGAGAAGTTAGATATACAAGTGTGGAGTTCAGGAGAGGGTGCAAAGGTGGAGTGGTAAGTTTGGCAGTGATTGAACCATGGATGATATTTAAAGACAGGAGACTGGGTGAAATCAAGATTTATTCTTTTTCTCTTCCTCTGCTTTTAATTTCCTCTTATCCTCTACTCATGCTGCTGTTTCTGTATTTTCTAGAATTAGAACAGGAGTAGAGGTTATAGAGTAAGAAAGCAATTTTTTTCTTTCTACTTAGTTGGTACTGTTTGTGGTTCTTCCTGGGCTGATACTGGCTGGGCACACATTATTTTATAGCAGGCTGAACATTAATTTTTCATGAGCATGCCAGTTACTTCTCCAAATATTCTTACACAAAATACTCTGTACCATTCTGTTCCTTGATGGCGCAAGGCGGAATACAGACTCCACCTAACTTTATGGGACCTTCCCCCAAACTTCTCTCCCCCTGGCACTCTACCTCCGCTTCCTTCTACTGCTGTTTTTCTTGATCTAACAGGAGAGCCCTTTGTAATGTCTCTTAAAGATGACTTATGCCATTATACTTATAAGTAAAATTTTTACACATGGTAAAACAGACTGGAAGGAGATATACTAAAATGATGGCAGTAATTAGTTATGTTAATATACTTCGACTTAAGTAATTATTTTCTCATCTATTATCTAAAATATGTTATAATGTGGTTAAAAGTCTTTTTCAGTGAAAAACTATAGGCATATAGCATTTTGTATACAAATGCATATTGTATATTTGGTATACAAGTATGTATATGGTCTTTGTGTAAAATACAAAATATTGAGGTACATAGATATATTTAATATAAAATATCATATTTGGTATTTACTTAATATATATATACACAAACATAAATGTGTATAATAAATGCACACATATACACCTATGGTTAAAGTTTAAAGTTACATTTATTCTTCCCAAAAGATGACACCACCATAATACAGTAATCCATTTTAAAATATGAACTACTTTAAAACATTCCAGGTTGAAAGATCTTTTAAATGAGGATTCATTGTCCCTAGATATGACATATGCAACCCACTCACTGAGAAGCCTTAATCCCAGCATCCGAAACTAGAAACTAGAGTATGTATGTTCAGGGGAGGTGTGGACAGTGGGAGACAGCTCTATTTTTCCTTATCTCAACACATTCCTAGTTAGCATATTTTTAGGGGGGAAAGGGAATCCAGCAGGATTTTTTATTAAGATAAAAAGATGACTGTAGAAAAATCTTTTGAAAAACTGAGTTAGCAGGCTTAAGGCGGATTCCCTGGGGGAAGGAAAACTGTAGCTTACTTTCCAACACAACCCTGCCAAACAACTATGAGGCATTATTTAATGTACAATGATGAAGACAATAAGAATAATAGGAATTAAGCTTTGCAAATTGCTGAGATGTATAGAAAAATAAATGACATATGCATCTTAACCAAAAGGAGTAAAAGGGTTTTAACAATATTAATGTGAAAAATAATAATAATAACAAATAATCACTAGCATTTACTAAAAGCTTATTATATGCCAGGTGCTTATGTTAGCACTTTATATGTATCTGTTATAACAATATTGTCAGTGGTGGTGTCAGGGAGGCTACTATTTTTCTTCTTATTTTACAGAGGGAGAAACTGAGTCTCAGGGAGGGTTAGTAGTGCCACCAAGGCTTACATGTGTATACATGTGTACACATACTTGAATTAAGGGAAAGATATACTCAGTTCTTAGATTGAAAGAGTCAATATTATATCAGCTTTGTTCAAATTTATCTAGAATATAAATACATTACTATATCAATCTATTAATCTATATTAATTTAATCTATAAGTATAGCTTCAATAATACAAGTTGTTTCATTTTTGTTGGAATTAGACAAATTGGTCCTGAAGTTCACGTGGAACACACACTGGAGAAGATGCCATGGAGCCACTGAAAACAGAGAGTCTCAAGAGGAGGGTGAAGGCCGCCTTCCAAAGACCATAAAGGGATAAAAGTTTTTCACTTCTTTCTGCAGTATTTATGTTGCAATTCTACTTTTTAATGTGACTAAGGCCATAAATATGTTGATGCCATTCCTAAATAGTTGCATAATAATCACCTATATATCTGGTAACATTGCTTTTCTTTTCTTTTAATTTATTTGTATTTAGATAGCATTGGTTTATAACATTATATAGATTTCAGGTGAATGACATAATGAACTAAATTCACAAAGAGATTAAATATGTGCTAAAGAAAACATTTAAAACCATGGGAGCAAAGATGAGCAAATAATGGAGTTGGGAACGAATGGTCAGCCATCTGAGAAAAACATAAAGCTGACTGCCATCTGACTCCTTACACCAAAATGATTTCCAGATGGCTGAAACATCTACATTTTGGAAAAAATTGAGTTTTGGAATGGGGAAGTGCTATGGAAACAAAACACAAAGAGATGCCATTAATAAATAATTTCATGAATTAACGATACTGAAAATATCTTTGGTGGGGAAAAACTGAAACAAAATTAAAATACAAATGCAAAGTACAAAAATAAATATTTTGTGATTTATTTTGCAGAAAAAAATTGTTTTGTGTACAAATACCTATTACAAATAAATGATAAGACCAATAATCAATAGAAAAATTTCCAAGAAAGTAAAATATAAATGGCTGCAAAAAACTGGAAAGAATCTCAACATCTCTCATTAAAGACATCCAAATTCAAACAACAAAATAGTAGTTTTCACCTAGCACTCTGACAAAGATCAAAAAGCTTAATATGCAGCATTATCACTAGGATGCTCAGAAATAGGCATTTTCACAGTCTGATAGAGGAAGTTTAAATTAGTGCAAATTTTTTGGAAAAGTTTTAGCAATGATTATTAAACTGTAAAATGCACATACCCTTTGACTAAGAAATTTGTTCTGCGCATTTATCCTACAGATATACTTGCAAAACAAGTACACGGAAATAAATAAAAAACTTTATTTATTGTATAAAAAATTTGGAAACACCTAAACATCCATCAGAATAAACGGGTAAACTAACAACAGTACATATTTGCAATAAAATATCCTACTCCCACTCTGCATCTTGAATGAGTAAGTAAGGAAAGAAAAGAAGGAAGAGAGGAGGGAGGGAGATGGACTGAAATGAAACCACACTCTCGTTATGTCATAAATACGCTGATGCATACAAAGAACATTTCTGGGAATATATTGAATTATTTGTAAAAATTATTACTCCTAGGGATGTAAGTTAGACAACTCAGGATTTGAGGTGAGAGGAAAATTTATTTCTTCTTTTTCTAAAAAAAATCCTATATAACCTCTTACATTGTTTGAATTTTTATTATGTAAATGTTTTTTTAAATAAATATAACACAGGTACCCATTCGATGTTGTAAGTTTTGGACAATGGGTAAGAAATTGACTTTGGGTGATAAGCACATGCAATATACAGATGATGTATCATAGAATTTTATACTTGAAACCTATATGATTTTATTAACCAATGTCACCACAATAAATTCAATTATAAAAATTCATTGAACTTTATATGTATCACACACAGAATGCTGTGTGCACATTATACCTCAATTAAAAGGGTAAATGTATTAATAAGAATAGTAACAATATCTCTGCAAAAAATTACAAATTAAATTAAATGATGTGATAGATAGTAGGAGTGTGGATCTCTTCTTTGACCAGATTGTCTCAGAAGTATCTTACTTTGAATGACTCCAAGAGAACTGGGTTATAGTTGAGGTTTAACCAATGTGTTTTGAAGCAACTCTTAAGAATAACAAATAATTTTCATAAGGTATCTAATTAATGGCCTTTCTTAATTATTGATTAATCCATCTTGTAGATTAGGGACCCATTTCACCTGGTGAGATTTGCATGAGAACAATCACTTTGCAGTGAGGGATCAAGACTGACCGAAGAAGGGACATACTGGAGTCGTGGAAACTGGTTAGGAGGTCATTTCAAGGATACAGGTAAAAGTCTGAGAAGGCCAGAACTAAGTTGGTGGCAGAAGAAAGAGAGAAGAGGATTATTACATGAGGGTTGAAAGGGGTGTAGAAATGGCAGGACCTCACACCTGGCTGGTTGTGGGGTAGAGGAGAGGGTTAATCTATAATGACCTGGCTTAGGCAGCTGGATGAACTGTCACGTAAAAAAAATTTAAAAACAGTGGAACAGTGGATTCAGTGAAGAGAATGAATGTACTGCCTTCTTCTTGAGCTCCATAGCCCATGGGATCGGGCATAGTCAGGAACAAACATTTGTGCTTCAGGTAGGGTATGGTGGTGAGAGGTTAGGAGACAATCCTTTTCAGCAGTGACAATTATTGAGTCTCAAGGGAAGAGAAAAATCTCCACATGAATAATGAATTCTGGAAGGAGATTTGGCTAAATTAAAAAGATAACATTTTGGTTTGTGCCAGGAAGAAAATAAAGAAGACAGGCATTGGTCCAGACCAAGATTAAAGCACCAGATGACCAGTGAAGGGCGGCTGGTAGAGCTGGCAAAGAGTAGCAGTCAGGATGTCTTAGCCTGATAAATTACCACACCATGGGAAAGAAATGCACCTCACCCAGAAGCACACAAAGGGTCCTTTCTGGAGGTCCTATGCCTCCGCATTCCACAGAGGCTCCATGCAACCAGGTGGAGCTGGCTGGAGCAGCAGCAATGGAAGAAAACGGAGATAATCTTGGCATCACAGCTTGTTTCTGCCACTAGCTGGTGTTATAACCTTGGCAAGTCGTTTAAATTTGTGTTACCTTAATCCTCTGTGAAAAGAAAGGTAAAATGTGAAGCAATTGTAATTTTGACAGCCTCTACCCCCGAGGAGAAAATGCACCAGACTTTGAGGGGTGTGAGAAGGCTCCATGGAGGAGGTGATCTACGAACTAAAATCATTCTTCAGATCTTAGTTCCTTTAAGTGTTAGGTTAGCTGAAGGAAGGGTAAGAAAACAAGGCAAGGGGAACAGATCCAAGTAGCAGAAACAGTATGAATAAAAGCTTTAAGCCAAGAAATAGAATAATACCTTCAGGAAGACTATTAAGTAATAGGATGTAACTGCTAGAGCATACACAGGTGAAAGAAATGTACTTCTTCAGTCCCTGCAATTGTCGTTTAAAGGAGATATTAATGTTTACATATAAAAGAAGAAACTGAAATTCAGAACAGTTACTTGATTGAAATCACATATCTTGTAAGTAGACAAACTAGTAGGGTCTGTGTGCTCCAAATCCTGTTTTAACTATTGTTTCTTATCAATTCCCCACATTAACATATTTAGATGGGTGAGTGGGTGTGGTAACAATGAAAGCATACTTTTCTCAACGTATCTAGCAGGTTACATTTTGAAAACCTCAACCTAAACAAACAAACAAACAAAAATTATAGTGAAAAACAAATGTAATATGTATGGGTTATTAGCTATATAATGTTTGAACTAGGAACATAAGGAAGCAAAATTTGTTTGTCAAAACAGTCAAAGAGATCAGTGAGTCACTAACCCTTGTTACTTCTTAGTAGTTTATGATATCCTTTAGCAATGATTTCATATTAAAGCGTAATTAACACAGACCAGATTTGGTAGCCTTGATTATTTATTACAAATATACAAAAAAAGCAATATGGTTTTCTTCTATAACTAATTCAGCAAGAGCAATTTCATCTTAGCAAAACCATGTACTTGTTCCCGGAGGCCCACTTCACATTAGACCGTTCCTTGAGTTCACTTTTTGGAGCATTGGCCATAGAGTAGGCCATGCTTACTCCTTCCATGGTCTTTTCTTTGTACTTTGGCTCTTGTCAGTTGACTACAATGTGGTTGGGTACGAATCTTATTTTTCTACCCTGCTTAGATTCTACTGGGCTTCCCGAGTATGGGGGTTTCATTGCAACCATTATCATTTCAAATATTATTTACTTCTTGCCCATTCTCTTTCTCTTCACTGTCTGAACTTTTTTGAGAGATAAGTTGGACATTCTTATACTAGTCCTGAAGTCTCTTAACCTCCTTTTTGTATCACCTGTATTTTTATCTCTGCTGCATCCTAGATGCATTTAAAAAATAATTGTCTCTATAGCTGAATCTAATCCACAGTTTAAGTCACCCCAAAAGCTTTTCTTTACATAATCATATTTTTATTTTTAAAAGTTTCTTTGTTTTTAAAAACTTGCTGTTCCTTTCCCTATTGTTTATTTTTCTTACTCCCGCCACTCTTGGTTTCATAGTATCTTATCCTTTCTCTATGATTCAATTCCTTTGATGCCAAATTATTTGAAACATATTTATAGTGGCTTCCTGGTTGATTTTAACACTTTCAGTTGAGGGGTGCTCTTTATTGTGGGTCTTAACACTTGGTTAGGGCGAATGGTTTCTCCATTGTCTTATAGGTTTGGACTGCAGGCTCATCTTCAGAATGGCTTTCTCTCTGAGACTCCAGTGGCATCCAAACTGCTGGAGCACTTTTACTTTCACTCCTGCCAGGCGTGGGTCCGGACCCCTTCCATGCTACCTGTGGGTTCCCAGACCACACAGGTGTTACAATGGAATTCCAAACCAGCTTGAAGGGAGACTCTTAGAAGAAACTTTTCAGGGGCAGAATTGGTTTTTTTTTTGTTGTTTGTGTTGAGGCAGATACGTTTCCTTATCACAAATCTATGATTTTTATTGAAGGTTCTGATTTTATGCAAGGATCTTTGTTACAATTCTATCTTACCAAGATGTGCAGTCATGTCATCCATCCTATTGTAAGATTAAAATGTCAACATCTAGGTTATTGATAACACTACCTCCAGTCCTCACCCTGCACAACCTAATTCACTTATCTATGAAATTTCCTCTCTTACTATCTTCTTTCATTTCCAAGGGGCCTTGGGGAAGATGCTGAGGGATTTTCTTCCCTACTTCCTAGAGAATTGAGCTATTCATCTGAAAAGATTTATATCATATCTTATCTAGTATTTCCAGGTGATTTGTAGTATAAGGGTTTCTAGATTATTTTGTCCAAACAAGCAAAATGTTTTCATAAATAAAAAAGCATCTTCTGGAACCTGAAGCACCGTACTCCTTTAACCTTCACTTAATTTTTAGAAGAGCAGTCTCAAGTTGCAGAGAGGCCCCTGAGTTGTCTTCTAGCTATTCTGGAAATTGCCTGCCTCACGCTGCAGTGGCTCCTGGTAGTGTGTTCCCACTCTCTTGTCCACAGGTGTCTAAACTAGAAGTGGTTGCATGACTCAATTGTGTTTACTGGTTAGTTTCCTCTTGAAATTTGAAAGTTTGTATTTCAAAATACTCTGAAACATGTACTTGTGGTTCCAAGATAGTTCTTTTATTAAGCTCAACCTCAGAGCTAATGGTTAGTGTACAGCTGAATAACATAATTATTATTTTTGCCATGATCCACAGCAGTAAAACTTGCCACATGCTTCAGTGGCTTGGTCTGTATATTGTGGATAAGACAATGTGAACAGGTACCATAAAACTGGCTTTATAACAATGGCAACACTTTACAATATTTTATGCTAACTTTCAAAGCAGCTTCAATTTTATTAACTCCTTTTAGCAATTCTACAAGGGATAGAGACACCTTGTTTAGTATTGTTTTGCCATGTGTTCGTATTTACAACAGTATATAGAGAGGTTTAGATACTTGCTCAGAATCATACAGCCCAAATCTTTTCTTGCCTAGGGCTCTTTGTCGGTATCACCTATGTAAAAGGCAATACTTTCTCCTGAAGAAATGTGTTTTTCTCTTTCAGCTTAGCTGGCTTTGTTTTCCCCCTTGCATATGCAGACACATGCATGCAGTGATAGAATCCTTTGGAGGCACCTGCCCAATTCATTCATTAAAAAGCTCTCACTTCTCTGGAAACTGCTTCCACATTCTACTGCAGTGGGTTCCAGGTAGCTTTGTTAGCACCATGTAACCATGGTCCCTTGGCCACAGTTGATTGGACCTGTGTGGATACCTGAATCATTATGGCCAATAAGGTCTTCTATCCTAAGAGTTGGAAACTGAATCTTAAGGAAAGCAACTTTTTGTAGACAACTTGCCATAGAGACTAGGAGAGCAGAAAGAAAGGGAAAGAAAAAAACCAAAAACCTCAAGCCAGCAGAGAGAGGCAAAGACACAACAGATACCAAGAAAATCTCTGAGGGTTCTACTGCCTATGTACTGACTCCATTTCTGCTGCATAGTGAGTATCTGTGTCCCCCCAAAGTTCATATGTTAAAATCCTAATCTCAATGGGATGGTATGTAAAGGTGGGGCCTTTGGAAAGAAATTAAGTCATAGAGTGGAACTCTCATGAATAATATTAGTGTTCTCAAAAGGAAAAACCAGAGAGCTAGCTCTCTCTTTTCTCACCACAAAAAGACCCCAAGAAGATGGACAGGAAGAAGACCTTCACCAAAAACCTGACCATATTGGCACCTTGATCTTGGATTTCCAGTTTCATCTGATTGAAAACTATCTTTAGGTCTGCAGCATAAATAAAGAAAGTAGTTCATTATAGTCCTAACATTGGCATAAATTGGTGCTACTTTAAAGACAATTCTGAAGGACGTCCAGGTTCACGATGAAAACAAGGGTGCCTGGTAGCCACAGGATGCGATGCTCCTTGTGTTGACCATCAGTTAGAGGCACTATAATATAAGAAGAGTGATGTGTAACTATATAGACATACAGGATAACTCATGTGTAGTCATTTGTAAGAAAAAATAAAGAAAAAAGTCCATGTATTTGGCAGACTGAAAATTAATAAGAGCCATAATTAGGTACTTTATGTGTATTATCTCTGCTTTTCCCATAATAGCTCAAAGTAAGAACAAAAATGAAAGTATGTAAATCCCCAGTGTTAAGTGAATTATCCAGAATGGCATAACTTATGGCTGGTGGATCTGGAACACTGAACCCTAGCTACAGGATTAAGAAGCCCGAGGTCCTTAGCAGTTGAGAATCATTCAACTGCTAAGGGGACCCTCAGGTGAATCATAAACTTCACAAACCCTTAATTTGTTTTCCATTTTATTTTCCAATTAAAAAATGACAAAATTTAGGCTGTTTTTCGTTATGATCAATCACCTCTTTCTTTATACCACTGCTATGACTTAAAAATCTTAAAAAAAAAAAACAGAGAAGGGCAGGGGGCAGGGGATGGGATGGGGATAAAAGTCAGAAAACTGTACTTGAACAACAATTAAAAAATAATAAACTTCAAAAAAGAGTTATTTTCATAATTAATTTAAATATACTCTGATCATTGCCTGCCAGTCCTCATGACACCTTCTCCAACCATCAACTTGCAAATTCCACTTGGAGTTTCATTTCTAGAACTGCTGTCAGAAATACATTTTTTTCAAAGGAGGAGATTTTTTTCTTAAAATTTCTTCCATCAAATGGGTCTATTATCTTCCTAGCTGGGCTGCATAAGACAGCTTCTAATAATTTCAAATCACTTTCATATTCAAGGAAGGTATTTGGATATTATGTTAAACAGAAGGTGTGGACTAGTGGTTCTTAAACTTGAGCATGCATCAGAATCACCTAGAGAGCTTGTTAAAATAGACTGTAGGCTGGAGAATATTATGCTAAGTGAAATAAACCAGGTAATGAAAAACAAATACCATATGATCTCATCTATAAGTGGAACCTAATCAACAAAACAAACAAGCAAGCAAAACAGAACCAGAGACATGGAAATAAGGAACAAACTGACAGTAACCAGAGGGGAGGGGAAAGTGATAACATGGGAAAAAGGGGGAAGGGTCAAGTCAAGGAACATGTATAAAGGACCCAAGGACAAAGACAATGGTGAGGAGGACAGGGAGGAGTGGGAGGGCTTAGGACTGAATTTGGGAAGTGGGGGTGGGTAGGGCAGGGAGAGTAATGGGGGGAAAATGGGGACAACTGTAACTGAACAACAATAAAAAATAGACTGTTTGGCCCAACCTCAGAGTTTCTGATTCTGTTGGTTGGTGATAAGACCTAAGAATCTGCATCTCTAACAACTTGTCAGGTGACACTTATCTTGCTGATCTGGGGACCACACTTTTGGATTTTCTAGTATAGACTTATTCTAATTTTATCATAATTTATAGAAGAGCTTGTATATTTTCTAAATGCATACTTAAGTAAAAGAAAATAGAGAGGACAGATATGAATGAGGGTATCCCTGGCATTAATTGTACCTGTCCAAAATCTTTTTGATAACATTCTTCACCCATTCAGCTTCAGGATCCAGACAAATTAATTTTCCATTTTTCAGTGTGACTCTGAAAAGAAAAGAGTGTTTTAATTAAATAATAACTGTACTCAATAATGCTTTAAATTTATTCATTAGAATTTCTGTAAAAGTTAATGCATATGTTTAAAATATGCACATGATTTTCTCAAAATATATTAATCATATTATTAGAACATGACTTTTACTCACATCAGTATGTACAATTAAATTACTTTTAATCAACAGAAATAGCATCTTTATGTAGAGACTTTTTAGATATGAATTAATCAGCAAACATTTATTGGTTTTAGGATGTACAAGGTACAGAGCTAAACTCTGGAAAATCTGCTTAAGTATAATATCTTCTAGGCTGCCAGTCGTCAAACCCTTATTGTGTATTTTACAATTATATCTATGTTAGTTTTTAGGCTCTTGATAAAATTTCTTCATTACTGGAAGAGACAGGGCATAGTTTGCTTATTTTGCTTATTTAAATTAATTCTATAGTTTTCAACTGCACTTTACAGAACCACAAAGCACAACTCCCTTGAATTTCATTGCATGAAGAACAGATCATCTTACTACACTCAGGGTTTAATTAAATAACACAATTTAATATTTAATTATAAAAACATAATGACAGTAATAAAATAATAGCTCCTTAGCAAATTACCAATACAAAGATAGCCACAAAACATCATGAAGAGTGGTGAAAACTTGAAAGTATTCCCTTTGAGTGCAGAAACAAGATAGGGTGTCTACCACCACCATGGCCATTTCAGCCAAGTTAGAAAGGCAAATAAAAAGTGTAAGCTTTTCCAAAAGAGGAAAATTAAATTGTAATTAATCCCAGAAGATGTGATTACCCAAGTAAACAGTTGATGGTTTTTAATAATAATAATAATAAGGTTTTTATAGAGAAAATCATAAGACTTTGAAGACATTATAAAAGGCCCTCATAAATTTGGAGTTGGCCTATGTTCTTGAAATAGAAAGCTCAGACTCATAAAGATACCAATAATTCACAAATTAATCTATGATTTCAAAGAAATTATACTCACAATTATAATTTAATTAGTGCGAATTTGCAAGCTGCTCTGAGATTGATGAGGAAGAGTGAAAATCCAAGAAAAGAAGAGCCACTCTGAAGAAGATAGGGGAATTTTCCCTTCCTGATGTTAAGAATTATGATAAAGCATTAATAATAAATATGGTGTACAAGTATAGACAAATTGACTAATGAGACAGAATAAAGAGGTCAGAAACATTCTTACACACTGGGAGAACTCAACTTATGCAGAAGCAGCATTGTAGATCAGTGGGAAAATGATGATATTTTAATAAATAGTGTTGGAACTATTGATGAACTATATAGAATATAAAACTTTGATAATTTCATCACATCATTTATAAAAATCTATTCTGGGTTGGTTAAATTTTTAAATACAAAAAAAACCTGTAAAAATTTTAGAAGCATATTTTTATAAACTCTGTGAAAGGAAGTTTTTTGGAGACAAAACACCAACTCTACTAACCAGAAAAGAGTATATTGTTAAACTCACATTTATGTTAAGAAAACACCATATGAAGAATGAACCTATGAACCCCAAATTGAAAAAAGAGTATTTTTAATCCAAATATCTGACAAGGATTAATATCCAGACTATGTAAAGAAAACCTGTGAGTCAATGGGGGAAAGGATAGTATCCAAATAGCAAAAGAAGCAAAGAGGTTGATAGTAATTTCACAGAAAAGGGAACACAAATGCTCAAAACATGAGAAAATTTTCAACCTCATTAATAATATATACATGTTAATTACAAAATAAGAGATACCAATTTCTACCCATCAAATTGACAAAACCAGTTATTGGCCAGGGTGTAAAGCACCAGATGATTAAATGCAGGAAGGCATGTCAGCTGTAATAGTATGGCAATACCTAGTAAGGCTGCAGATGTGAACACCCTAAACTTATCAATAATTTTTAGATATTCTCATATACGTGAACCAGGAGACAAAATGTTGATAATAGTAAAAACTTGGAAAAAACCCCAAACGTGCACCAATTGTGGTTTGGATAAACGAATTTTATATTTATTGATTTAATATTCCTACGATATTAGTTACATTGAATTGACTACATCGAAACACATCAGACTTCCGCCAAGATGGAGGCATAGGTGGAAGCACTGCACCTTCTCACACAACCAAGTTTAAAAACAACAAAGTTTTAGCAACAAAAACGCAGCCAAACCACAGAGAATTGAACTACACGGAAGTCTGACAACAACAAGCTCTTCAGCCAAACCGGTAAGAGGGGCAGAGCCAGCAGCAGAGCAGGGTTGGGCAGGAAAGATCCACAGGACACCCGGGGCAAGCAACCCTGGTGCGCCAGCAGCTGTGGGTTGATCCCAGGTGTGGAGAAGCAGGCGGACCCACTGAGGGCGCCAGGTGGTTGATCCGCTGAGGGCTGATCTCAGTCACACATTCACGTGCAGATAAACCAGTGAAGGAGCTAGCGGTGACACGAACCACGCAAGCCCCAGTGGCAGGAAGCGGCAGAGGGAACTGCCATTGTCCCTCTCTGACCCCGCCCCCACATACAGTGTCACAAATCAGTAACCTGGGTGGCCCCGCCCTGGTAAACAACTAAGGCTCTGCTCCTCATACTTAACAGGCAGGAACAGATCAAAACATGGCTCAAGAACAACTCAGAGCCCCACAGCCAATAAATCTAAGTGATGAAGAAATAGCTAAACTTTCAGAAGCACAGTTCAAAACACTGGTGATCAGGATGCTCACAGAACTGGTTGATTTTAGTCACAAATTAGAGGAACATATGAAGACTAAACTAATTGAAATGAATGGAAATACACAGGAAACTAATAGTAATGGAAAGGAAACTGGGACTCAAATCAAGGGAGTGAACCAAAAGGAGGAAAAAAATGACCAAACAGAAAAGGATAAAGAAACAAGAATTCAAAAAAATGAGGAGAAGCTTAGGAACCTTCAGGACATCTTTAAACATTCTAACATCTGAATTATAGGGGTACCAGAAGGGGAAGAGGAACAGCCACAAGTGGAAAACTTATTTAAACAAATAATAAAGGAGAATTTCCTCATTGTGGCAAAGGAAATAGACTTCTAGGAAATCCAGGAAGCTCAGAGAGTCCCAAAGAAGTTGGACCCAAGAAGAAACACACCAAGGCACATCATCATTATATTAGCCAAGATTAAAATGAAGGAGAGAATCCTAGAAGCAGCAAGAGATAAGGGGACAGTCTCCTACAAAGGAGTTCCCGTCAGACTGTCAGCTGATTCCTCAAAAGAGACCTTACAGGCAAGAAGGGGCTGGAAAGAGGTATTCCAAGTCATGAAATCCAAAGACCTACAACCAAGATTGCTCTATCCAGCAAAACTTTCATTTAGAATGGAAGGACAGATAAAGTGCTTCTCAGATAAGACCAAATTCAAGGACTTCATCATCTCCAAGCCCTTATATGAAATGTTAAAGTGACTTATCTAAGAAGAAGAAGATAAAAAATATGAGCAGTGAATAGACAGCAAACTCAGTTATTAAGAACCACACCTAAAACAAAAGCAAACTAAGAGGACAGCTAGATCAGGAGCAGAACCATAGAAATGAAGATCACATGGAGGATTAGCAACAGGAGAGTGGGAGGAGGAGAAGGGGGGAGAAGGTACAGAAAATAAGTAGCATAGATGGTAGGTAGAAAATAGATAGGGGGAGGGCAAGAATAGTATGGAAAATACAGAATCTAAAGAACTTGAGAAACTTGAGAACTTGAGTGGTCATAAGCTAAAGGGGGGGAATGGTGGGGGAGGGGTGTGCAGGGTGGAGGAAAATGAAAGGGGGAATAGAACAACTGTAATGGCATAATTAATAAAATATAGTTAAAAATAAAATAAACACATCAAAATGCATGTATTGAAGAATATAATGATGAATTTTAGAAGCAAGTCACAAAACAATACATTCGATGTGATTTCTTTGACCTAAAGTTCAAAAACAGCCTAGTTCATTTCAGTTTCTATCATAAAAATATTGACTTAAATGACAAATATTTGTTTTATTTCTCACAATTCTGGAAGCTGGGAAGTTCAAGGTCAAAGTGCAGGCACTTTTAGTGTCTGGTGAAAATCTACTTTCTGGTTTATGAATGACTATCTTCTTGCTTTGCCCTCCCACTGTGGAAGGGTAAAAGAGCTCTATGTATTCTCTTTTATAAGGGTTGTAATCCCACTCATGAGGGTTCCACCTCCATGACCTAACCACTTTCCAAAGGCTCCTAATATCACCACGTTAGGGGTTAGGATTTTAACATAATAATGTGGGGTGTGGGAACACATTCAGTCCATAACACAAACAAAATAAACAGTAATTGTTTTATTTTATAATTTTATTATTATTTATTTATTTAGAAAGGAGGGAGGGAGGGAGAAAAAAAGGGAGAGAAACATCAGTGTGTGGTTTCCTCTCCCACGCCCCGGACCAGGAACCTGACCAGTAACCCAGACATGTGCCCTGACTGGGAATCAAACCAGCAACCCTTTGGTTCACAGACTAGTGATCAATCCACTAAGCCACATCAGCCACGGCTGTTTTAGGTTTTATACATTGGTGTTAAAACGATTTCTAAAAGCAAGAAATATCATAGTTTAAAACAGTAGTTACTTTTTGGCTTGGGGTAAGTATATGATTTGAGAGTTGTATCAGTTTGCTATCATAACAATATAACATAGGCTGGGTGTCTTAAAGCACAGATATTTGTTTTCTCACAGTTAAAGAGGCTATGGATCAAGATGTTGGCAGATTTGGTTTCTTCTGAAACCTCTTGCCTTGACTTGTGGCTGGTTGTCTTCTAACTGTGTCTTCATAAGGCCTTTTCTCTGTGTATACACATTCCTGGTGTCTCTCCATCTTCTTAAAAGGACACCAGTCATATTAAATTAGGCACCACCATTATGACCCCATTTAAACTTAACTTTTTAAAGGCTCTACCTCCAAACAGTCATATTCTGAGGTATCGAAGATTGGGAATTCAACTTAAAAATTTGCGAAGGACAAAATTCAGCCCATAACATGAGTTTCACATGTGGATCTTTTTATGTACTAATTATGTTCTAGATTTTTCCTGGGTAGCAGGCGAGTGGGGTATTATTACTCTTTAAACTGTATAGCTATGTGTTCATACACTCTTTTGCATCTGTGCTTAAGTAGAATCCTAAGAAGGCCCACCGAGTTTCTCTCCCTAATCGCCAAGAAGGTGAACACAATGGGATATCAAACCCATGACTGTGTCACATTACATGTCAAAAAGGATTTTGCAGATGTAGTTAAGGTCTCTAAGCAGTTGACTAAATTAAAACAAAGTGTGTGGCGGTCTGGCCAGCAGAGTCCGCCTATTGTGGCTGACGGCGAGAATCAATGCACAGGCAACAACAATCCTGTGGAGATAAAGGGAACAGGCACGACTACTCTCTCAAGGGGAGAGCGCCTCTGGATGCCTCGGCCACTCCCTCAACAGGGGAGCATGCTGACACTTGCCTAGACAGGCTTTTATTGTTTTCCTGGGGTCTTACATCAAAGAAAGATTTATTATCTATCACATAGAATATTATTATCTACATTCTAGGTACAATCAAGGAAATAAAAATAAACGTGCAAAGGGGGATGGCATGAGCTCATTAGCTCTGTCCTTGGGAGAACTCATACAGGCTTTGGAAATTACTTTGAAGATAGACAATACACATTTGTTGTTTTAGACCAGGGCGATGGAGTTTTAGCAAGAGCAAGCCGTAACAGTCTGTTTGCATTTTCTAGGCCTGATTCCCACGGGAAAACTTGGTGGTCTGGCTCCTGCCCACCACTTTGCTTCTGTAGGTTTTCCCTACAGAGCTGAGTCACATTTGTCAGACCAAAACAAACCGGTCCCCTACAAAGTGTGATTATTCAGGTGGGCCTAATGCATGGTCCCTAAAAGCAGGGAGCTGTTTCTGCTGGTGGCAGAAGTGAGAGAGGTTTGAAGCATGAGACACATTCAAGGGACAGATTTGAAAGCAGCTTCTGGGAGCTGAGAGCAACCCTGGACCAAGAATAGGGACACTTAGTCCTACAACTGCAAAGAGCTGAAATCAGCCAACCACATAAATAATCCTGTAAGTGGATTCCCACCCAGAGCCTCCACATGGGACTTCAGCCCTGCTGACACCTTGACTTTAGCCCCTTATGACACCCTAAGAGTTCTCACAACAACAAAAGAAATAATTGTGTAGTGTGGTAGAGGTGCTAACTAACAGTCAAGCCACCTAGACTGCTGACCTGCAGAACAATGAGGTAATAAATAAATTTATTTTAAGTCACTAAGTCATGGCAAAGTGTTACTAAGCAATGAACAACTAAAACAGTATGCATGGTATAGTTCACAATAAAAAAGTTTTGATAAAAATGCAGAAGGGTTTCCCACAGGCTCTAAGCTCTATAATTGTAGGCTGATGCTTCAGAAAGATTGTCAAGCAGACCTTTAGAGCCATTAGACCATGCCGAACTTACTGTGTGTTTCAATGTATAATGGAGAGATTTTCAGACCATCGAGATGATCCATGTATCCTTACAGAAGACCATGTATCTTTGCTTGTTGTTCATGTTCATGGACTTCAACATCCACTTAGAGGAATTCATACCCTAATCATGTTCCCACTAGAGAGCCTTTTATTTTTGGAGTGGGTACATGATTTTTTTAGAAATGAGAGCATAAACACTGGGCAAGTATCTCCCCACATTGTGCAGGGATAATGCTCAGAGCCTGGTCTCCTTTATTCTCAATTTAGTACATTTGTCAGGAAATGCCCACGTTGAAGATCACAGTACTACAAAATACGCAAATAGACACTCTTTCTAAAAGTATACACATGGTTCAGAGACATGAAAAAGTGTTCAACATCTCTTGTCATTAGAGAAATGCAAATGAAAACCACAGTGAGGTACCCCTTCCCACCTGTTAGAGTGGCTAGCATCAGAGACAAGAGAAAACAAGTACTGGCAAGGATTTGGGGAAGAGGAACCCTTGTGCTCTGTTGGTAAGAATGTAAATTGGTACAGCCACTACGGAAACAGTGTGGAGGATCTTCAAATAATTAAAAGTAAAACTACATACGATCTAGCAATTCCACTTCTGGAAATATATCAAAAGGGGGAAAAACCCACTGTACTCAGAAGGATATCTGCTCTACTATGTTCATAGCAGCATTATTTATAATAGCCAAGACACGAAGACAACCCAAGTGTCCTTTGATAGATGAATATATAAAGAAGCTGTGAGGTTATAGATAGATAGATAAATATATATTTCAGATGCATATGAATTCTTAAGTTTTACTCTCTTAAGTAAGAAACACAAGAAAAAATACACATTTTCTTTTTTTACTTTCTCCTTTATTGCATTTATATGCATCTATACATAGTTGATTGTATCTATATGAATTGATGGACACTAACTAAACTTATTGCAATAATCTTTTCACAACATACCATTTCAAACCATAATGCTGTGTACCTTAAATGTGTGATGTATATCACTTATATCTCAAAACAACTGGGAAAAATTTTTTTAAAAGTCTGGTATTAGAGGCTTCTATTCTCCCCATATCTTCACTACTTACATAATTTCTTTTCTGCTGCAGTAGGCACCTTCAAGGATCAGCTGAACTTTTGAGATGAATTTGAATGGAATAAAGGGAGAATGGGTCTGAATACACTGACATTGCAACTCTTGGCTCTCACAGGGATCAGCTGTGGGAGAAAAGCAAAGCAAAAACACTAAGTGAGAACAAAGACAGCCATGAGGCTTAGTTCTTTGCCCAAAATTTGAAATCAGTACATCAGGGCAGTCAACACATTAAGTATTGATATAAATATCTAGAGAGACAATTATACATCTAATCATCTGCTATGCTGATGACCAATGAACACTTATCAAGCATCTACTATGTTTGAGAAACTGGTAATTACACTAGATCAATAATTCATTGCTTAAAACATGAAAAAGTTATTAATAGTAAAGTCAACTTGATTTCCTTCTATGAAAAGATTTAAACATAAAGATTTTGTGTGAATTCTGTCATTTAGAGGTATTGATTTCTATCTGCCTACCACCATTAAAATGAACACCCTAAACCTATTTACAGTAGTGCTCCTGCTATCATCTCTAATAAGAAAAACACAGACCATTACAGTCATATATTTCTAGGAAGTTAAACAGATTTTTAAAAATTAAGTTAATTGAAGAAAATTTTTGATACTGAAATGTAAATATATGTTCTGCTTAGTTATTGATTTCACAGTTCCTACATGTTGCCTAATGCCAGATACAGTATCATTAGATCTGAAATTGTGTCTGATGTTTTCTACTGCTTAGAAGGAAAGGACAAAAGGCATGGCTGGCTTACCAAAGATACCCAGGACAAGGACCGCCAGAAATAGGAAAGTTCGTGAGCTTTCAGCAGCCATGTCTGTGCTTGACATTGATCCTTGTCTAAATGGTGGAATCAGCACCACAGCCCCCTTTTATGTGCTCTCTGTAGCCCTGGGAATTTTTTGTACTTCTAGCATTGTCTCTCCCCATTGAAGAATGAAAGAAGCAATTTCTAAGTGCCACATTCACAAAGTGACACTTTTTAAGTGTCACTCACAAGCCAAAAAGGAAGCAGGATTTGTTTTTCAAGTTTTGTTTAATTTGGGGGTTGGGGTAGGTTAAAGTGAATTTGTTGAATAGAAAAAAGGAACCTATTGTTTCTGAGGGCAGTGAAACTTTGCAATTGTTAAGGGCTCAGGTCCAGTTGCAGTTAATGGTGGCTTGCAGAATGGAATCATAAGAATATCTATATAGGTTTCCAAGGTTATACTTGTACAATGTAGGAAATTAAGATGCTTTTCCACAGCAAGTACTTGCTTTTGGCTTTTATGCTTATTTGCATAATCCAACTCAATCATAAAATCATCTGCCAGACTCTAACTACACCTGTGGTATAAATAATCTGCAAAGAAACTGAAGTTCAGACTATATTAACCCTTGTCCTTCAAAGGACAGCAAACTATAGTTTACTTTTGGTTTGAAGGCAGTAGTTTCAACAAACATGAAACTGAATGATGTAACAGGGAACTATGAGCTTCGATTTTTGTTCCTTAAGATATGTAAGATACTTCAGTTATACCATATTCAATGCATTTTTTTGCATTAACAAGTCAAACACTAAAGCGTTTCTATTTATTTCCTAGTGCTGCCATAACAAAGTACCACAGACTAAGTGGCTTAAAAACAGAAACTGTCTCACAGTTATAGAGACTAGAAGTCCAAGATCAAGGTATTATCAAAGTTGATTTGTTCTTAGGGCTGTGAGGGTGGGAGAGAGCTGTTTCAAGCTTCTCCTCTCAGTGGTAGAGAGTCATTTTCAGCTTCACATGGTGTTCACCCTGTGTATATATGTCTGCCCCTGAATTTCCCCTTTTTCTAAGAAGATGAGTCATGTTGGATTAGGGCCCACCCATATGACCTCACTTTCATTGGGTTACTTCTGTGAAGACCCTGTTTCCAAATGAGGTACTAAGAGTTAGGACTTTAAGTGATGAATTTGGGAGAGGAACATAATTCAAACCACAACAGCATTTAACTGAAAAATCAGTCATAGTCCAAAGATAAACCCAGCTTGAATAATAAGATACTTTTTCCAAAGCTCATTGAGCATTTCTTACATGGCAGGGTCTTTAAATACATACTGGACACTAGATATTTAAATATAGGAGACCATTCTGCGTGGGGTGGGCCCAGCTCCCTCTCAGAGATGCACCCACAGATAGGTTCTCCCATGGGGAGATTCCCATGGGGAATCAGGCCTGCATTGTACCTGGACTGCTATGAGACTTGCTTTTGCTAAAATTCCTTCACCCTGAATTGAGACAGAAAGTGCTTACTGTAACGTCCTAAAATCCATGCTAAAACTCCCCAGTATGGAGTGTAACCAGTTCAATCACTTTTCCCTTTGCATTTGTAAATTTCCTTCTTCTGTGATGTAATTAGTGGCATCATCTTCTTTGTTTTCTGTAAAAGGACTGTGTTTTCTGTAAAAGGTAGTCTGTGTGAATTTCTCGTGCCTCATCCACAATGTGGCGGACCCCATGAGCTGGGATCCACATCATTTAAAGATTGAGTTTCTCCTCTTGTTCACAGCCTGTTTGGAAAGACAGATGTAAGCAAATTAAACACAAAAGGTGATCTGTGTTATACTAGGTAGGTACCTGAGGCACCCTGAGGCACCCTGAGGCAGAGGCAGGAAGACTTGGCCAAAGGAGGGGGGAGGGAAGACTCCACAAGGGAGGTAACACTAGAGTGGCTAAAGGTGAAAGGATACCTATCATAACAAGGCTGATAAACATTCCAAACAGAGAAATATGCAAAGAGGCACATCTTTGTTAAGAGTTGCTATGGTCTCAATGTTTATCTCCCCCCAGATTTCACAGGTTAGAATCCTAACCCTAAAAGCCACGGTGTTAAGAGGCAGAGCTTTTTGGAGGCAGTTGTGACCTGGTGAGGATGGAGCCCAGAGGAATGGGAGCATTGCCCTTGTCACAGAGCTGCCACAGAGCTCTCTCTACACCTTTCTAGCCTGTGATGGCATGAGGACTAGTCTGTGATGCTGGCACCCTGATATTGAACTTCCAGCCTTCAGAACTAGGAGAAATAAATTTCTGTTGTTTATCGAAGCCACCCAGTCCAGGGTGTAACTACAGCAGCAGTTACAGACTAAGGCAATGGTCTTGGCATGTCAAGGAAGGGAAAAAAGTTACTACAATCTCAAAATGAGGTCAATTTTAATATAACTTGTCAACATTCAATTGACTGATCAAATCTTGGCCCTTTTACAAACTGAAAAGCTGCAAGTAAGTTAGAAACACTATTCAGACACAACCTTAATTTCTCTGAGTCTCATTTTTCTTCTGTACTAAGTGAAGGTCATAAATTCTGTTAACATGTGTAAATATTATGATGGTAATACAGAAGTATACAAAGACCTGATAAGCAATGTTGAAAGACCAGAAATAATTTCATTTTTAAAAAATTTAAAGACAGGCTTATGACACCATAGTAGGTGTTAACTTTGTTAAATAGGTGATGATAAAAGATCTGGGTAGGTCTTATCCTAGACCCACTGAAATCTATGCTACAACTGGAGCAGAATTAATTTACAATTAGGTCTAGATTGTTTAAAATGCTCAGATTGTCAACTTCTAAGGTTTTATAGACAATGTATTTTATTAGGTAAATTTTTCACAAGCCTGAGACCTATACAAAGAGTAAGTCACTTAAAAATCTTATTTTTAATTGTAATTTTCTGTTTCATTCTTTAAAATATTTATGTATACTACTAATAGAGATACACTGTAATGTGATAATAGTATGATCATTTATTGAGCTTTGCTTTTTATCAATAAACCTCTATGAACTTTTTGTATATTATCTAGAAACTTTGTAAGGCATGTTTCTTATAGTTGAGGAGACTGAGTGTCTCAGAAATGTTAAATAATTGTAAAACGTTAAAAATCACCAAAAATTCTTAGCAGCTACTCACCTAAAGCTGTGGAATCTATTTCCCAAATACCTTGACTCTGTGCTGACTTAATGACTTGCTTTGGCCAATAGGATGTGGCAAAAGTGATGTGGATACTCCAGGTGAGAAATGCAAATAACCTAGGAACTTCCACTCCTGCCCTCTTGAAATGCTGCTGTCACTATAAGAAGGTAGCAGAACTCATCTGATAGAAACGTGATGCCCAGCCAACAGCTAGCACCAACCACCATGTAAGTGAAGTGGTCTTGCTTAAGTCACCAGATGACTGTAGCCACATGGGTGACTGCAGAAGACACTATCAGAAGAACCACCCAGCTGATCCCAGCCCAACTTTTGTATCATCTAGCCTAAACTGTGGGGTCATAAGCAAGAATAAAATGGTTATTGTTTTAAGTCACTACATTTTGGGAAGACAGTAGGTAACTGAGGAAGTAAAATAGCAGATCACACAATATGGCTGAACCCACTTTTTACTTTAAATTATTTGGCCACAATATTCATCATATTCCTTTTAGATTACCCAACAGTAGTGGTGGTATGAATCAACTGTTGGTTATTAATTAACACTCTGAGATTTGTTCTCCAGATTTTAGAAAGCCAATCCTAGAGTCAAGATTTTAAGATAATAATCTTCTTTGACACTTATCAGAATGACCTAGTTAATAAAGCAGCATGGTACTAAATATCGGAAGACTAAGTTCTAGTCCATTTTTAAATAAAATGGTTCTGTAACATTTGGCAATTCATTAGTGGTTTCTGAGCCACTATAGTTCCATTTATAAAATGAAAAAACTATTTTTTGTATGATCTCTTAGAATTTAAACTGAACAAACTCCTGCCTGGCTGCTATATGATCACTTCCTGGTTTTAACATTTGACTTGTTTCCTCCTTTCCAAATTATGTGATTTCTTCCTCAGGGAACTGTTGAAAGCAAAAGGGACAATTGCAATTACCTCTCACTTTTTAAAAAAATCGCCTTTAATTTGGAGAACAAAATGTCAATAGGAGTACCATCCTCCTCACAGGTAAAAATTAGGTCCTGGGTGTAGGTTCGGTCGACTCTTCCCCCAACCACATCCACTTTAGGGCCTTATAGATACGGCTTCTAGGGTTTGACTTCAACTTCAGCCAAGAAAGAAAAATCAGAAGCTGATGCCCTGCTGTTTTGGTGGTCTATGACTCTCTAATGTAAATCTAGCCATTCCTATTTCCTTACTGAGTTGATTTTATAGTTTCTTCAGAATAAGAAAACAAACACAATAGCTGCTTGGGAAGTGAAGAAATTAGTTGTATTTCATGGTGGTCAGTGTAGGTATGGTTGTGCACTGTCCTGTTATCACTTTTCTCTGCCCCATCTCACATTGTTCTCCCTCCAGATTCTCTGGTATTATACTTCTTAATAAAATAGTACAAAAGTCTTAGCCCTGATACTTAATTTGGAGGGACTCCAAAGGATCTAATTTGGATTCCTCTAAGCAGATTCTGATACAAACACTTGCATGCAGTAGTTCGTCTTGAAGATGATCATAGGAAGAACAAGTGAGGAAGTGGGGGACTGTGGGGTAAGAAATAGAAAAAGGCTAATAAAGTCTATGTCATAAATGAGATACCACTATAGATAACTAGAACTTAATTTTGCCATGGCACTTCTGAGAAACTTTGTATAATGTCCCTCAGAATTGCCCCACCAGACTTCCATTTCTAGCCATGCTGGAGCAAAAGGAAACAGTCTTAACCTTCTGCCATTAACAACTAGAAGACTCAACAAAATATATGAAACTATTGTTTTTAGATATTAGACAATAGTCACTGAAAGACTAGGGTCCCTAAGAAAAAAGACCAAACAAGTTTAGGTCCATGATTACACCAGCTTTTTGCTAAAGCAATTCTGGAGCACTGAACCAGGATGAAGACACAAGGGAGAGCACAGTGGTATTGAGGAATAGAGGAGAGGCAGGGAAACTGAGGTGACTAGAAGTTATGGAGCTGAGCTGCAGAAAGGAGACATCCATTCAGAAAAAACAGAGGCCCAAAATCTGCATCGGGGTTCCATTGGGTCACTGATCAATACAAAGTCACACATGCGCAGGGTGTCACTGAGCAATTCTCAGACCTCACATGGGTCAGGGAGATAACTGAAGTCTGACTTTTTAGAGTGGAGAGAACTTCAGGAAAGACGTGGAAGGGACATGACAGCAATGCAGCACTAGGGCAAAGAACTGTCTCTTGACCACACTAAGAAAGCTGAAAAACAGCCTTAGAAATATCAGGTCGCTGCTCCAGTAACTTACTTGTCTGCTGGAACAGAAATCAGGACTCTAAAATTAGAAAACAAAATCTTGACACTCATCAACACAAGATTCAAGATTTCTTACACCCAATCAAAAATTAGCACACATGCCAAGAAATAGAAGAATGCAACCCATAACCAGAGGAAAATATCCATAAGGGAAAATAGACTCAGAAATGACAGAATAATCAAATTAGTAGACAAGAATTTTTAAATAACTGTTATAAATATGTTCAAGTGTTTAAAAGAGAACGTAAAAATAACGAATTGGAAAATGTAGATATAGGTAGATATAGATATATGTACATGACATAGGCATAAATGTAGATGTAGATATAAATATAAATATAGATTTAGATATAGATATTGATGTAGATATAGATATATAGTGTAACTTCTAAACCTGTCCAACCAATGGAGACTGGAAAACAGAATATTCACCCACCAGCTCTTGCCCCTCAGTGAGGGTTGCCACCGAGGGCACAACATCACAGACCGTCCTGCCTGTGGGCTGAGAAGACTCTCTCTGCTATTTCCCCCCTCCCCACTTCAAAGAAGAGAGATCTCAGGGAGAGAATCAGAAGGATGCAGGAGACTAAGCTGAGAAGCTGTCAGCAGGAATGGATGTTGCTCATTGCAACTGTGGAGCTAATTGTTATACAAGAGGGATTTGGGGTGGGGCATCCAAGGTGAAGACAGGACTAGCCCTTTCTGTTATTTTTGTGTAAGGGTAAAGAGAAAAAAATGAGAAACAGTATCAGCTGTTACTCTGGACTTTTCCCCTTATGCTATTGCAGGCCTGCCACCTCTGCTATCCCCTCCGGTCTCTGTAGTTAGTCCTGGAAGTCCTGAGAAGACATCTCAGTAGATCTCACCCAGAAGCACTCACAAGGACAGAATAGGACAGAATAGGGTCAGCCATGTTTCCTTCCTCTGACCCTAGCTCCTTGGGTAACACCACTCAGGAAACCTCAGTCATTGTTTCCTTTGCTCTTTCCTGCTGATGACCTACAAAGTTGTGATGTGTCACATAGGATTCTTTTCTTACTTCCTTCACCCCATGACCACACTTCACACACCCTTGTGTCCCTGACATAATACTCTTGATGAGAGACTGCATTGTACATGTAAAGACTAAGCAACTTGATGTGAAAACTGTACTCCTTACTCACTCACTGCAGAACGGACACTGAGATGATGTGCATGGGGTCAGCCTGAGGACCGAGGGCACATTTCTGAAGCCATCTCAGCAGCAACTTCAAAGAGTGTATTCTGATATTATATTCATCTTACAGAGCAGGAAATGAGGTTAGTGAAGTCAACAAACTCGCCCAAGATCACACAGCCAACAAATAAGAGAGTGGAAATTTACTCCAAAGTTTATTTTATTCTTTGAAACCTGTCTTTAACCACCATATAAACAGAAACATCTCCTTTTTCTCTTTTATGCTCCATGTTCCATATTGACAAGAGCTAAGTGGGCAGTCCAGAAGGATCAAGACAATATTTGATTACAAGAAGTGGTCTTAGGTATGTGAGGGCTTTACAGAGCCCTTGTAGTACTACTTGTAAATATTTTCTAGTGTCCTTTGACTCTTGATTAGTGAATGAATGACATTTATGAAGCTTCCAGAATGGTTTGCATTTATTTACTTCTGTACAGTTCACAAATTTTGTTCTCATTTTATTTATAACAAATAACATTGGAGTTATGAAGAGATTATTATTTTTAACCCTTTTAAGTGCAAAAAAAAACAACCCCACCCTGGCTGGTGTGGCACTGTGGATTGAGTGCTGGCCGGCAAACCAAAGGGTCGTCAGTTCGATTCCCAGTCAGGACACATTCCTTGGGTTGCATGCCAGGTTCCCAGTAGGGGGCGCACGAGTGCAACCACACATTGATGTTTCACTCCCTCTTTTTCTCCCCATCTTCCCCTCTGTCTAAAATTAATAAATAAAATCTTTTTAAAAAAACAAAAAAAACTCATAGATGTTGTTTCTTGCTACTTAGACCCCTCATTTACCCAGCTACTTGGGAGAAGCCAGAACATGATCTCAAGTGTTCTGGCTGCTAGTCCTGCCTTCTTGCCTCTGCTAAAGGCTTTTACCTAGGGCTCAGGATTTCCTGAATGAATCCTGAATCAGAGACAAGCGCACACCCCACACATCCACAAAACATCTCTGCCTTTAAGGTTTGTAGTATGTTTTTTCATAGATTATAGGAGTCTTTCCTTCTTTGACAGCAGTTGTGTTTGTCTTGGAAACATGGATTGCTGCTGTCAACGTGGGGCAGTGTTGAATGCCAAGTTCCAGAGGACTTCCTCAAGTTCCACCATCTGCCAGGGGCCCTAATAATTGCACTAAGAAAAGTGGAGCTAATGCACTCAGAGCTTAAAATCATTCTGTTTGGTAAATAGGCATAAAGGATTGGGATAAACATCAAACTCACTGGTAGGTCCTTATAAATGAAAATTTTAAAAATTGAACCCAACTATCAATCAGGTCTTTTCCTGGGTGAAATACCCAGACATTCACTATTTCTCCTTTTACTGATAATACAAATCATTTCAGTTTTGAAGAAGAAATCCACTTTGCCACCAGTTCTTTTTTTAGTCTTTTTTTATTGCTGTTCAGTTACAGTTGTCCCCATGTCCCCCCATTACTCTCCCTGCCCTACTTTACACTATTTCACTACCAGCTTCTTTAAACTGTCAGTAATGGTTAGAGACACCATTCGGCGAAAACAACGAAATGGGAGTCCTTGTTAAGATAACTATAAAAGGGTAAATGTTTTTAAGGAGGTAAATTTGAATAGCAAGTTAGCATGGACTTCCTTACAAAAAAGAGTACTATATAGAGGTGAGTATAAGTAGTAGCTTTACAGTTGTGAAGGCACAAAACATAGGGTTTGTTTTTATATTATTATTCACTCATGTCTTTTTTTAAAATATTTTATTTATTTATCTTTAAAGGGGAAGAGAAGAAGAGAGGGAGAGGAACATCAATGTATGGTTGCCTCTCATGAGTCCCCTGCTGGGAACTGGCCTGCAACTCAGGCATGTGCCCTGACTGGGAATCGAACTGCGATCCTCTGGGTCTCAGGCCCATGCTCAATCCACTGAGCCACACCAACCAGGGCCATTAATGTCTTTTTCTATACAAACAATTGTAAGCCCACTTTTGTCCACTCCTGTATTTCAGTGACTCTTGCAGTGAATGAGGAGGGGACAGCTCATGGTTGGAAAGCCACATTCTTGAGTAGAGGAGAGCCAAGGGGATGGACAGCTATCACCAGATGAAATTAATAATAATTTATAGTTTCAGCTATAAGTGTAGCCAATTGAGTGTCCAGGAGAAAAAAAATGTTGAGAAACATTGATGTAAATCATCAAATTATCCAGTAAAGATAGTTGCTTTTTTTCCCAGAAAAAAAAGAAACATTGTTTATTTTGAAATACTTTATTTTCTTTTTCTTTTTGCAAAAGCATCCACAAATCAATTTCTTTGTTTTAAGACACAAACATTGCATAATTAACACTAACCAAGGCATTATGCCTTACAAGAAAGACATGAAATGTCCAAGGGATGTTTAGAACATCGTAGTTCTTAAAGTTTCAACATTAGGAATGCTGAGCACATGCTGTGAAATTGTCCCAATAAATAACCACTAAAATGCTCTTCAACAGTTACTATAGGTGTGCATGTGTACTCTCCTACCCTGACAATGACCTCACTATTGCTTAGATCCCCCACCCTCTGCCATAGCAGCTGGCAGTACTGTGGGCTCCTTGGAAATATTAATCGAATGACTAGAGAATATTTGCAAACATTTTACTCTCAAATTAAATAAGAAGTAGAACTGGGCTAACTTGGGTTTGACATAAAATAAACAATAAAAATAATAGTACTGTGCACAAATAGAGTCAATCAAATCCTTAAAGATTTGACATGTGAAATATTAACATAGAATATTTGAAAACCAACCAATAAATAAATAAATAAGTAGAAGAACTCTCGTAAGAGATGCTCAAGTACTGGAAGCTCCACCCAGGTGGCTCTGGGAGCTGCTGATTCCTCTTTTTCCTCTTTGATTTTTGTGAGGCAGGGTCTGCGTCCTCTGGTTAGTCGGAGCTATATAATGAGAAAATGTTGTCTTTAGAAGTTGCTCAGAAAAGCCACCTGCACAGCCCTCTACTCCTGTCCTGCCCTCTAGATTTCAAAGTTTTCTGAATCTGGCTTCCCCAGCCTGGCTTGAAAGTGGCTGCTTCCAAACTATTGTGGCTGAGACCTCTTGGCTCTTGAATACCGGGGAGGTGGGGAGGGGGTGGGGGTGCTGTCTGTGGTCCTTATTGAGTTACTGGCTGCTAACAGCCTAAGTGCCAAGGGGAGTGACATTGGAACATCTGTCACATTAGGCCTTACTTAAGCTTCAGAGCAACCCCAGGTGGTTACTATTGTTTCCCCCCTTTACTGAGCCCAGATGAGTTTAAGAATTGTCCTTGAGTTATATAGCTAACAGGTGGTCAGACCCAGATTCGTACTCAGCACAGTGTCACTCCTAGGTCCCTGCTCTTCACCACTAACCAGGCTTTAGGGCCTGTGTGGCAGAGAAACAAGGGCTCTGTTCTGCAGATGTGAAGTCCAGAAAGGATGGGGCGTGGTGGATGCCTGTTTGGCAGGCCTCCTCCAAACAGGTGAAAAGCTTTTAGTGTAACTGTCCAACACCAAGGAGAATTTTAATGAACCTACTCATCTGAATGAGGATGGAAAGGAGAATGGGGATGGAGAACCCTGGAAATATCCTTCTGGACCAGAGCAGATTAATGACCTTAATGGCAAATTTAATTGTAAGATAATAACTTTTCACTCCTTCAGCTAAACTCTGGGTTTCTCTGTTATAATTTTCTGCCCTGTTATATATAATAAGGCAGATGTCAGTATCCATCATCAATGACTCTATTCACATAACTCACTTGTTCAGCATCTTTTCGATCATTTTCTTAACGAAAGGGGCTTCAGGGTTGAGGCAAACATCCTGTCCGTTCTTGAGCGTGGCTCTGCAGAGAGAAGGGACAATCCACGTGAGACAAGTGGCCGGGATGAGGGTCAGGGTGGAAGAATTTGAACAGGGGAGGCAACACTTACACGACTTCGGTTTGGTCGCAGGAGGCTCCTGGGGGTATGACCTTCACACTCTGGATGTGCTTGGGGTGAATTTTCTGCAAGGTCTGCAAACACTGGCAGCGAAGTTCATTGGCCACAGGCCTCCCTGTGGGGACAAGACACTCGGTTAGGGGAGCTGTCCCCCAAGTGCGCCCACCCGTGGTTCCCCGTCCCGCCCTTGGGATCCCAGGGTTCCGAGTCTCACCTGCAGCGTGGCGGCAGGAGGTGACCAGGAGTAGGAGCAGCAGCGCAGCCCTGAGGAGTCCGGGGACCCGGGGGACAGCGGCGGTTGCGGTGCGGGTCATGGTGCTCAGCTTGGTGGGTCTGGTCGACGGTGCCTGGAGCGCGAGAGCTGGCGGGAGAGCTGGCTGGGCGAGATCTGTGGCTCCCGGAGACGGACGAACCCTTTTTATCCACAATAGGGGAGGGAAGTTCGCAGCCCCCGAGCAAGGGAAATTCCCGGACCTGCAGGTCGTTCGCTGGTCGGAAAGGAAGGCGTGGCCCTGCCCCTGGGGGTAGTTGGGGTGGGGGACGCGAGGGCGCCGCCCTAGGTGGCCTCCCGGGTGACTCGGCAGACTGCGAGGTTCTCTTTCCGTCCAAATCCCCAAAGCCGGTGGCGGAGTCTCCGCCACACAGGAGCTGCTGCGGGGAGGGATGACCGTGAGCGCCCGGTGACCCCACTGCGCGGGGCGGGGAGGGGCTAGTGGCGGGTCCCCGATACCCAGCAAGAAAGGAGGCACATCTTTAGCGCGAAAGAGTTGTCTTTTTAAATTAATAGACCTGGGGAATCAAGGAGGAGTGAGAGGATACATTTTATTTCTCTTTCTATGTATCATCTATCTATACATAATATTTATATGTATTCTGTATATATATAAGGTCAATGCTCTTTGTAAAAATACCTTAGTTATCTCTTGTTCCCTTGTTTTATATTCTCAAATCACACTTCGGTTGTCTTGGTTTTATTTTCCATTTGGTGATAAAAGAGATCAGTGTCAAAAGTTGAATCCAATGTTAATTTCAATGAGAATCGAGGGCTGTCAACGTGACCTCTTCCGTATACTGCTGAAATTCCTTATTCTTTTTTCTTTTTTTTTTTAATTTTATTTACTTATTTTTCAAGTACAGTTTTCTATTTCTCCCATCCCAGCCCAACCCGCCCTGTGCTCCCTCCCTCCCTCCCATTTCCACCCCCCTTAGTTCTTGTCCTTGTGTGAAATTCCTTATTCTTTCTGTCACGTCGAACTTCCGAAATTCCTGGGGGCTTTCTTTCCCATGGGAGGGCTTCGGGTTTGAACTATGACATACACGGCTGGCGGTCACTCCGAAGCTGCAGAGGGGCTAGTAGAGCAGACTCATGGGTTCACCTTTTCTGCACTGTCTTTGGACAAAATAGGCTCTGAGCACTAGAGAAGAGGGACCGGCTGCACCCTTGCCCCGGCTGGGGGCGGGGGATGAAATATGAAAAGCTGCAAACCACATAAAGCCCCCTTTCATTTACTGAGGGGCCTGCAGTGTTGGTCTCACTTTCCCTAGACCCATTGACAGGTCTCTCTTTTCTGACCAAAAATTTCAATCTTTTCACCTGATGCTTTTGCTATTTTTCAAATAGTAAAACATTGATTGATTCAACATTAGGTGTACAGAGAGGGTTTAATAAACGTGTGATGATCCGGATTGGATTCAGATCTCTAGGGGACATGGAATACGGTGGGAGGTGGGAGACAAGAAAGGAATGGCTGCTGGCCAGAGGATGGAGGTCCAGGGACAGGGCTCCAGGCAGCCCAGCTCGGTGCATCAGAGCCTGTGCCCCACAGCCAGCCACCTGGGGGTGCACTGAAGCTGCCTGCCTTTAGTTGCCACCTCTCACCTACAAGTTAAAGATTTCTTTGCCTATCCCAATGTAGTTATGAGAAATGAGTCATTTGTGAGAGCCAGTATGGACTGAATACCTTATAAATGCTAGCTAAATAAATAAAATAGAAATAGCTCTTTCCAACATTGCCTAAACAGAAACTCAACCTGTGTGTGTGAATCCTATAAAAAAATAATTTAATGAAAGATTCCCTCCTTGATTTTTCTTTTCATATTTAAATTTCTCTGTATTGGGCTTTCTAAGAGAAAGGCACGTCTGAACTCTACTAGGAGTTGCACTTACCTGTTTTTTTTTCTTACTGTTGACTTCTATCATTGGTTTCTACTGTAGTCCTACTTTCAATCACTTTATATGTAAAAGGGGAGTTTGAATTAAAGACTCTTCAGCCTATTTATTGGAAATCATTTACAAAATGAATAACTGTCTTTAAAAGTACTCTAGTGTTTATCAGTATGTTCCTGAGGAAAAAATCAGGGAAATTAAAGGGACATTAAAATTTGTGTTAAGAAGCAGGAAACAAGAGATAATCTAAAGCTTATAAAATATGTGACTCGGTCATGAGTAATTGAGAGTTTGGGTAGTTATTTCTCTTGATATCAGTCAGTTTCTGGGATTTGATGGGAAACTGGCCCAAAAGTACAAAAGCTATTCTTTAAAATTTGAAAGATGTAGTGTTTTCTTCTAATTGTAAATTTAATACAGACTCATTTTATAAAGTTTATAAGTCAGAAAGGCATAAAGAGATATTTTCCCCTAATCTCTCTTAACTTCTGTTTGTGGATCAGAGTTTAACAGGTCCCAGAAAGTTTTCTTTCTTCTTCAATAAACATAACAACTGACAAGTTATAAGAGCCTACAAGACTGCATAAATGTGAACTAGGTCACTTTCTTTATTTATTGCCACAGACCATGGGCAAGTTATTTAACCTCTGCACTCAGCCCAAGCTGCAGCACATTTATTTTGTGCTAAGTTCCAGGGGCTATTCTAACAGTTTTACAAATATTGACTCACTCAATCTTCCAAAGCTCCCTATAAAGTAAATATTATGGGCCTTTAAGGCTACAGGTAAAAAACTGAGGTGCAGCAAAGGGTAAGTAACTTCACTAAGGTCACAGGATACTGAGTCTGGTTTGCAAAACCAGAGAGAATGGCTTGTAACCATTATGCTGCGGTGAAAAAACTCTGTGATATACAAGTAAGAACTTTCAGAGAAGAATAATTTTTAAAAATCTGTTTGTTACTCCCTGGGTTGTAACAAACATGATTGCAAACATGGGTTGTAAGAAAACATGATTCATGTTTGCTTATTCTAAATACAAACACAGCAAAATGGGCATGCATTTTTATTATTTTGTTTGTTAGCTTTTCTTATAGTGTCCAGTTCTGATCATGGTAATAGTTATTCTACTATAGAGATACCCATGGAGAAATTTGGCAAAAATTTATCCCCTTCAGTAAATGATTAAGGTTGATATCATCAGTGTGATGTCAGGTGGATGGTATGTACCCCCTGGTATGATATGATGATGAGAAGGGTATTTGGTATTTTTTCCAAAAGTTTATAAGCCAGCTCTAACCATGAGAACATTCTTTAAAACTAAGTTGAGGAACATTAAACAGCTGGCTAGTAAGCACTCTTCAAGACTGTCAACTCATGAAAAATAGGGAAAGACTAAGGAACTGTCACAGTCCAGGAGAGAGTATGAAGACATGACAAATAACCACATCCTGGAACAGAAAGAGGACAGTAAATGGGAAAACTGGCAAAACCCACGTAAAGCCTGGCATTTTGCGAACAGTAATGTGCCATTGTCAGTTTCTTAGCTTTGACAAATCTATCGTGGTGATGTAACATGTTCAAACTGGCAACTCAATGAAAGGGACACCGAAACTTTACAATTTTGCACCTTTTGTGAATTTTAAATTATTTCAAAATGAAAAGTTTGTTTTTAAATAAGTTTCTCATTCTCAATCAATTTAGAATAGCATCAAAACAAAATCAGTGGACATGTGTGCTTTACTTGGTAGCTTCCTAGGAAGAAAATTAAATTTTTGTTGAGTTCATATTTGCTGAAATATGACAATCCAAAATATCTATTTCCCCAGTTTGGACACTTCATCATGTTTCATAGGTTTAAGTAGCTTGTCTTCAGCATTAATCATGATGTCTTAACCTGTCATGTACTTCTTGGAACTGAAGAAATAAATAGACAGTGTGTGCTGTAATGGTCTACAGACCCAACCCATAACTGATGCAAATGAGGAGTACATAGGGAAATTAGAAATTCATTTTGTGTACAGAAGCAGCCAAAAATATGAAGCAAATTAAGCCTGCCAGAAACATTTAACATCTTTAGATTGTGTAGAGTTGACTCCTGGAAATGGCTTAATCAAAGTCACTTGTTTTCAGGAATAAAAGAAAAAGAAAAATTTTCTTTTTGGCCATGGTTATTTCTTCCTAGCATGGCATTAGAATCCATTAGATCTTCATTAATCAAAATTTTCAAATATTTATAAGCACAGGAATGGATAATCCAGTGTTTATTCTCATGTTTGAGCAAGTGTTTCTCCAAGACAATGACCTTTGCAAGAGTTGACCTTTGCAAGGTCAAAAACCTGGTCCAAAAACCTGGCCCTTTGCACCAGGTTTTTATGCACAATCTTTGAACCTATGCAATAAATGACTTTTTAAAACATGAAAAAATCTTTAAAATGGAAGCTTTGGAAATTAAATTCCCTTTCCCCTGTAATCATTTTGAATCTTTCAGAATTGATCTTTAGTATAATACAGGATGATCACATCTTCTGGACCCACTGATTACCCCTGCCATTACTGCAACCACCAACTGTGTGCAAATGTCAAGTTACAGCTCCTCACCTTAGCTCTACCAGGTATCTTTCTGCCCTGAAGTTTCTTGGTCATTACCACAGAAAGTTCCTTGCAGGACAAGAGACTCAACAAACAGCAGGAGGCAATCAATAAATATTTCCTCTTCTTTCATGTTTTAGGCATTTCTCAGGGGGTCCCCAGTAGGATTAAATCCCAGTCACCATACCCTGTTTTCCTACTTCACTCTTTTCCAGTCCTGTACAGCGGGAACATTTCCCCAAATAAATATACCTGCATGGCAGACTGATGACTTAGGATCTGCTCTTTTGAGGGTACTTAGGCTAAGACACTGCTGTACCCTGAGAACTAGCCATGCTGACTATCAGAAGGCAGGAATGGCAGTGGAGCTCTGATCTACCACTAGCTTGCCCTAAGAACTTATTCCCACACAAGTTTCATCTCTATTTCCCTAAAATTATCTAATGACTCAGTTCTATGGAAATAAAAGTGAAGATTTTGAAACATGACATTAAATTCTTGGCACAATCTACCCCTACAAGCCAAGGGCATGAGTGTGTACCAGGAACAGGATGCTACCTAAGGTAAGTGGGTAGGGGTTCCCATTACAGAAAACAAGACCAAGTGAACAAAGGCATGAAGGCTTGAAGCAGTGTGGTATGACACAGAAAGAAAAGTAAATCATTTATTTTTTTTAACCCGGAGTCTCACCCTGAGGCAGGTAGTGCAGAGAGACCAAGTAGGAGGAGAGGTACGGCCCAGTCACCAGACGCTCCTGCTTGTTATTCAGGAGCCATTTCAAATGCCGAGTCCA